CGCTCAGCCACTGTGGCTGAATGTCCCACACAGGCCAAATCCAGAGGCAACGTGTATCCGAATGTATATCTGAACTCCTACCAACACGCCGCGATTTGCTCTCTCCAATCTCGTGCTGGCGGACCACCGCAGTTACTCATTGCTGTCTACTTTTCTGGCAAATTATGAAAGCTCAATAGTCAACTCCGCTCATTGCACTGATCACCTTCTCCACTCCTGTTGCCCAACCCGGCGTCAGCTCCTGATACTTCTGCTTCCGGGAATTATTGTCCACACCCCAGTCGACCCTCTGCATTGCAAAGATGAGCTACGTTAAGAAAGATGAAGATGCTGATCAAATAATGATGAAGTTGGATAGGACTTCTGTCTTCCAAGATGGTGGGTGACAGTGCGCGGAACTGGCTTCGGTACGAACGACTAGAACTTACAACTGACATTGGGACAGCACGGTTATTCAATTCCTCGCCTATATCCCCGCGAAAATGCCGAACACTACTTACCAAAATCGCCGTTTTGCTCTTCACCGGGGAAAAGTTCCCGACGAACGAGGCTACGACGTTGTTCTTTGGCATCTCGAAACTTTTCCAGAACAAGGATCCTTCGCTGCGACAAATGGTATATCTGATCTTGAAGGAGTTGGCCGGCACGGCAGATGATGTTATCATGTCTACATCCATAATTATGAAGGATACTTCCGTTGGAAGCGACGTCCTCTACCGGGCTAATGCTATTCGAGCATTGTGCCGCATTATAGATGTACGATCCGCCTTTTATCTGAATGTTGGAATTTTCGGTTGTATACTAATTATCGAAAGGCTACAACGGTTCAAGCGATTGAGCGTCTGATAAAAACCGCAATTGTCGACAAAACTCCTTCAGTCTCGTCAGCCGCTCTTGTTTCCTCCTATCATCTCCTCCCCGTCGCTCGCGACGTTGTTCGAAGATGGCAGAGCGAAGCCCAGGAGGCTGCCTCATCGAGCAAACAGTCCACCAGTTTCCTTGGTTTCACGAGTGGACAAGCGCACCCTATCTCACAAACGAACTATATGACCCAATATCACGCAATTGGTCTTCTTTATCAGATGCGTGCTCATGACAGAATGGCTTTGGTAAAGATGGTTCAACTGTATGGTGCAGCGGGCGCGGTCAAGAGCCCTGGTGCACTTGTGTTGCTTGTCAGGTTGGCTGCTCAATTGGCAGATGAGGACCAGAGCCTTCGAAAGCCGATGATGCAAATGCTCGACGGTTGGCTTCGCCATAAGCATGAGATGGTCAATTTCGAGGCTGCCCGAGCAATCTGCCAAATGAGGGATGTCACAGATGCAGAAGCGTCCCAAGCGGTTCATGTCCTCCAACTCTTTCTTTCGTCTCCTCGCCCCATCACCAAGTTTGCTGCCATCAGGACTTTTGCACAGTTTGGCATCCTTTCAAGCCCCAACGTTGTCAACCCCTTGCAACCAAGATATTGAGGCCTTGATATCCCAACAGTAATCGATCCATTGCAACGTTTGCAAATTACGACGCTCCTTAAAACTGGCAATGAAGCTAGCGTTGACCGTCTGATGACCCAGATTCCTGGATTTATGGCTGATACTACCGACGAATTCAAAATCACAATCGTTGAGGCTATCAGAACACTCTGTCTTAAGTTCCCACACAAGCAAGCTGGCATGCTTGCGTTCCTTAGCGGCATACTCAGGGATGAAGGCGGCTATGAATTTAAAAGAAGTGTAGTCGAGAGCATGTTTGACCTGATCAAATTTGTCCCTGGAAGCAAAGAAGATGGTAAGTAACTCTCACTTGCCTAATATAGTTCTATAAACTGACGTTATCTAGCTCTTGCACATCTCTGTGAATTCATTGAAGATTGCGAATTCACCAAGCTCGCGGTCAGGATATTACATCTCCTAGGGGTTGAGGGACCCAAGACTTCACAACCGACGAAGTATATCCGGTATATCTATAACAGGGTCGTTTTGGAAAATGCGGTAATTCGTGCTGCTGCAGTGACGGCATTGGCCAAATTTGGTGTTGGCCAAAAGGACCCAGAGCTTAAGAGAAGTGTAAACGTTCTATTGGCCCGATGCTTGGATGACACTGATGACGAAGTCCGTGATCGTGCGGCTCTTAACCTACGACTGATGAAAGAGGAGGATGAACTGGCGGAACGATTTATTAAAACCGGTAAGGGTCCCTTGTTGTGCGCGATATTTTAGATGGCTACCCCTAAACTAATGCCTTTTAGATTCGATGTTTTCTTTGTCTACATTTGAACATCAACTCGTCATGTATGTTACGGCGACAGATAAGGAAACTTTTGCGGCAGCGTTCGACCTCAACACCATTCCAGTTGTATCACAAGAGCAAGCCCTTGCTGAAGAGCGAACCAAGAAGCTTACGACTGCGACACCAACTCTCAAGGCCCCATCTATGACTCCATCGAAGGTAAAATCAACCGCTGGGGTCGATGGCGTTGCTGCTGTTGCTGCTTCGACCCAAAAATACGCGGAACAACTTGTCCAAATACCGGAGCTCAAGGCTTACGGAACACTGCTCAAATCATCTACTCCTGTTGAACTAACCGAAAGTGAGACGGAGTATGTCGTCAGCGCTGTTAAACATATCTTTAAGGAACATATTGTCTTGCAATATGATATCAAAAACACGTTGCCGGACACGTTACTTGAGGACGTTTCCGTTGTTGCTTCTCCCCTGGACGACGACGAATCACTGGAGGAAGATTTTATCGTGCCAGCGCCAAAACTTATGACAAATGAACCCGGAATAGTTTATGTTGCTTTTAAGAAACTTGGAGGAGAACATAATTTCCCTGTAACGTCATTTACGAACAACCTGAAGTTCACTAGCAAAGAAATCGACCCTACTACTGGCGATCCGGAAGAGACTGGCTACGAGGATGAATATCAAGTTGAAGATTTAGATCTAATTGGTAGTGACTATGTCATTCCTGCCTTTGCTGGAAGCTTCGATCACGTCTGGGAACAAACTGGTGCCAACGGTGAAGAAGCTAGCGAAACTCTCCAACTTTCCAATGTGAAAGGCATTGAAGGTAAGCTACCCATCCTCAAAATAGATGTATTTTTTACAATTTTTTGTACATAAGTTTACCCTCTCAGAGGCTTTCCTACTAACTGTTTGTTCCCTCTTACGCACAGATGCAACCGAGCAACTTGTTGCAACACTATCGCTTCAACCACTCGAGGGAACAGACGTGGTCCTCAACAATACGACACACGCACTTAAATTGTACGGCAAGACTGTTTCTGGCGGTAGAGTGGCAGCCTTGGTGAGAATGGCATATTCGGCCAAATCCGGTGTGACGACCAAAGTAACTGTTCGTGCCGAAGAAGAAGGCGTTGCTGCGACAGTCGTCGCATCTGTTGCCTGATTCAAACCCAATCATCTTTGATACCTTTGAAAATTGCGCCTATCGACTTTTGGTAGATAATTCATACCCGTTTGCTACTCCTCTCCCCCCATCCACTTCTTCTTCTCTACCTGTCAACTCTCTGACGCATACATTTCTCTCGATGGGAGACTCCCAACGCTTTAAATGTGATGCATGGTGTTCCTGGAAGAAACCGGACATATATCGTTGCCTTCCGCATGCCTTCTGTGGATTGAGAGCAATCTCTTTCTTCTCCCACCATATATTTCTCACCAACTACATGTTTCCCGTTTGCGTGTTCCTGTTTTTTCCTTGCTTTTATATTTGATATTCTCTTTTTTAAACAGTAATCACGGGCTTTCTCAAGGCTAGAACAACCACATCGCACTAGTTTCAAAAATTTAAGGTGAAGCTTTTATTTTCTCTCTATCCGTTCCATGCATACCTACTTCTATAAAATATGATATCTAGAAGCTCGCCGAAAATCATAGGGTTCTTCATCGCGGTAATAGCTCACGAAATGCTATGAAATATAATATTAAGCCAAGTTAAATATTCCAAAATCGCTGAGTCCATAAGTTTACACCGAAACCCCAGTCCGTATAAAACTGTCAACCAAAATGATAAACTCCAACAGGGATATCTCCACTCTCAATCTTGTCCAGAGAGTGACCTGCTCTCTGAGCGTTACGCCTCAACAACTCATCGAGTTCGTCATCAGACACGATCCTCAGCTTAGATGGATGAGATTCATGTAAACCAAGCAATCGAAGGTTCCTTAACCCCCCATCCAGCGCATGGAGAAAATCTTCCTTCGAAAAGTCTGGAAATCCCTGGGATTGTTCAAAGGCGAGGATCTCCAACGGTAGCGGCCAAGGCAACGAAGCGAGGGTATGGAAGAACGGCGGTTTGGCCAAATCCCCCTGGATCGAAAGGTAATGCAAGTTGGGAATAGAATGAAGTAGAAGCTCAGCATGCTGAGGCGTGTAATGCGTTTCATATGGGATTCTCAAGCTTTTCAAGTGGGTGCGCAGATAAGAGTTGTTCAGGACAGCTGGTATCAATGCTGGATCTTTGAGGGCTTTCCCTGCTAGTGTTAGGCTGGAGAGCTTCGGCGGCCAGTCGAATGTGAGAATCGTGGTACGATCAAGCGTTCCGCTGATTTCAAGCGTTCTGAGATTTGGTGGCCAGGACAGGTGACTTGCTACCATAGTGATGTTTGTTCTCCTGGGTAAGCGCAGACGACGGAGATTATCCAGGTGTTGGAGTGCCTTCTTGATGGCTTCGAATTCGATTTTTCTGATTACGTGTAATAAATCTATGGAGCGAAGCTTTTTGCATTTGGAAAGAGTGACGAGGTTAATTGCCCTATAAATATGGATCAGTCTTGTATATTTGCCCAAATAGATAGATACAGCATATAATATCCCTCCACGAACAATACGCCAGCTGAAACGGCCAGAGTTTTAAACATATTTATGAGAAGACAGGCATCTTACGAAAAACCGCTTGCCGGCGCAATAAAAACCTCAACATTTGTCTTTAACTCTCCCAGATATCTTGTCGTCAAGCTAGTCGTGAGGCTGTGGACGAGTTTCGAGAAATCCAAACGGCGGACGAAACGCCCGAGGTCACCTCGTGGAGCATACGCCTGCACTGATGGGCAGACCGCTCGAGTGAAACCATCGAAATTCGCCCCAGTTATGTATGGCTTCTCGTAGAGCAAAGGGAGAGCAGCTGAGTACCATAGTCGGGACACCAAGCAGCAGGAGTAGAGTGTATTCTGGCGAATGGGCTGCGGTTGCTCTCGCAAGTAGGAAAGGATGTGGATGATAATCTCTACCGGGATAAATAAAGGCATTTGGCCTCTATATTGAGACATTATGGGACGGAAATAAAAGTCAAGAAAATATATTAGTCACATATTCACCAGTTCTGCCCGGCTATATCAGCATTGCCATCCTAGCTGTCACGCTGATAAAATAACTACCGCAGGGACGATGACGTTTGAGTTTTCGGGATGCCGTCAGCGGCTCAAAAATAAATAATTCGTCCACGTCTCACAGAGAACAAAAGGTCGCCAACGCCTTGATTGCCTTATTCAGGGCTCCCCAACCCGAACCAGTCCCGCCAACAGCATCCCTTTTTCTTATGCTTAACAATTGGCCCTTGGGACTGGGGTTACTGTTGGGATTTGGTTGTGCCTGTTTTCCGTACTAGTATTTAGTTAGCCGAAACACTTGTCGTCCGCCGCCCACTGCCTGAACTAGCCATGCGCCTTTCCACCCTTCACCAACCGCTCCGTCAATCGTTTTACGGTTGTCAGGCATCGTCAATTCGAAAGCAATTCAGCTCTTCCGTTTCATCTCAGCGTGTAACACCAAATTTTGGTTTTGCCTTTGAGTAAGCCAGACGCTCGTTGTTCTTTTGTGTTAAATTGCAGTGTTAACATACATGACCAGTATAGATGGGGTTCTTCTCCGGTCATCGAGACCTCTCCCCGGAGCAGTTGAATCTCTCCAACTCCTTAAAAGGGAGAGAATCCCTTTCGTACTTGTAACAAATGGTGGAGGAATGCACGAGAAAGAGAGAATTGCGCAATTGAGCCAACGCCTCCATGTCGCTCTAGACACTGATATGATTATCCAAAGTCATACCCCTTTCGCAGATTTGGTAAAAGGTAATGAAGCGCAGGAGGCATTGCAGGACAAATGCGTTCTAGTCGTTGGTGGCGGAAACGGGAAGTGTCGCTCTATCGCACAAGAGTATGCCATCCTTGCCTTCTAACTATCCTATTGTTTTCTCTTCAGGCATCTGCTAACAGCGTCATGTACAGGTATGGATTTAGGTCTGTCGTGACTCCTGGCGATATCTTCCAATCACACCCGGAGATTTGGCCTTTTTCTGATGCTTTCAGCGACTACTACGGACAGTTTGCAAGTCAGCTTCCGCGTCAAATAGACGCGGAAGATCCTTCAAAAAGCCTTAATATTGATGCAATACTGGTATTTAATGACCCGAGAGATTGGGCTTTGGATATCCAAATCATCATCGATATACTGCTCTCATCCCAGGGTATCATTGGGACATATTCTTCTAAAAATAATAACCCAGACCTACCAAACCGGGGCTACCAGCAAGATGGCCAGCCGCCATTGTACTTCTCCAACCCGGATCTTCTATGGGCTGCGCAATACCATCAGCCAAGGCTGGGCCAAGGAGCATTTAAAGCGTCCCTTGAAGGTGTGTGGGCAGCGATAACCGGGGGAGCCACATTAGTAAAGACGGTGATTGGGAAGCCTTGCGAACTAACATTTAGGTTCGCTGAGAAGAGGTTGAACCAGGAACGAGAGAAGTTGTTTCCCGCTGAGAACTTACGGCCGCTTGAGGTAGTGTACATGATCGGTGACAACCCTGAGTCTGACATCCAAGGAGCCAATTCCTATAAGAGTCCCGTTGGGACCAAGTGGAGTTCTATTCTCCTGAAAAGTGGTGTATACTCGGGTGGGACGCCAACCTGGCCGCCCAAGGTCATTGTCGAAGGCGTAAAGCAGGCCGTTGAATGGAGCCTAGCCCAGTCGCGGTGGCCTCGTAATTGAGTTATCCTGGCTTCGCGCACCTTTTTTCGCCTGTAATCTAGCATTTGTTTGGTTTTCTTCGTTTATGGTTCGGTTATAGATTATTCGTGCAAGAACTATAGAGTTCTTAGATCTCATAAATATAGTATGCAAGACTCCATTTAAAGTCAATTTCGTTATCACAAAACAAAATGTAAGAGATGTATCATCCGTGGGTATTTGTGAAACTAAAATTTCAATACTGCATGATCGAAGATTCCACCATCTAATCTAATTGTACTGTACATTTGACCTTGCTATCATCGAAAGGTAGTTTCGCTCACTAACCCCAGGTAGGGCTTAGGGCTGCTAAGTTTTTCCAATTGGTGGGGTTGGTGGAGGCACTCTTGACTCCCCTCCTTCCGCACCGGAAAAAAGGAGATAACAGCCTCAGCTGCTTCCCTTTAGCTATAAGCTATACGAACCCCCAATTGCCAATTACCGCTGAAGTCCTACTGAAGAAAATCATGGAGCAAATTCCTACGCTCCCTGTTCGTTCAAAAGGCGACGGGTGACGTGCCGGAGAAATCCCTTGGTTCTCAGCCCCCCGCTGGAGACCCCGCCTCCTCCAAGCAAAAGTGCGCTCAAGAAAGCTGCTAAAGAAAGGGAAAAGGCAGAGAAAGCAGCTAAGCGTGCCGCTCAGGAACAAGCAGCTGCACAAGCCAGTCAGGCTGCGGACTTCTCGAAACACCTCTACGGACCCATCCCAGATTCCGCAGACAAGGTCCAAGTGTTGAACCTCCTAGACCTGTCGGAGGAACTCTGCGAAAAGGATGTCACAGTCGTTGCGCGTGTCGACAATGCCCGGGTACAGAGTGCAAAGCTGGCATTCCTGATGTTGCGACAACAGGGTAAAAAGATGCAGGCGGTGGTTAGTGCGAGCGACGAAATCTCGAGACCCATGGTGAAATGGATCGGAGGAATAAACGTGAATTCCATCGTTAAAGTTACTGCCGTCGTTAAGAAAGCTGAAATACCAGTAACGTCGGCCACAGTAAAACACTTGGAACTGCATATTCGGAAAGTCTACTTGGTTGCGCAAGCGTCACATATGCTTCCTATGCAAGTCAAGGACGCGGAAAGACCCCCACCTGAATCCGTCACGGAAGAGGTTGAATCAGAAGCTCCATATGTCACGCTGAAAACTCGCTTGGATAACCGTGTACTTGACCTCCAGACGGAAGCCAGTCAGGCAATTACCTGGATTTCCAGCGGTGTTGCCCAACTGTTTATGGAATACATGTTGAAAAGTGGTTCACGATGGATCTCTACGCCGAAGCTCACTGCGAATGCGTCTGAAGGCGGTGCTGGAGTGTTCGAAGTGACATACTTTAAAAGGAAGGCGTATTTGGCGCAAAGTCCTCAGTTATATAAGCAAATGTGCATTGCGGGAGATATGGAGAGCGTTTTCGAAATTGGTCCAGTGTTTAGAGCTGAGGAAAGCAACACTCATAGACATTTAACAGAGGTGAGAGAGTAGTGATGGAGACTTCTGATCTGGGGTGGTATTGCCGGCAAAAGCTAACAGGTTCTATTGTTTACTAGTTTGTTGGACTCGATTTTGAGAAAACATTTCAGAGCCATTACCACGAAGTTTTAGAATTCGCCGAAGATCTCCTAGTCTTTGTTTTGAGCGAGTTAAAGATACGATTCAAAAAGGAAATCGAGGTCATCCAGCGCTCGTACCCAAAAGCAGGTGATTTTAGACTCCCTAAAGATGGTAAGGCACTTAGGCTGAAGTACATGGAGGGGGTGGCTCTGTTAAAGGAAGCCGGAGTGGATGTCACTGAACAAGAAAGGTTTGAAAACGACCTGTCTACAGCAATGGAAAAGCAGCTTGGCCGAATTATTCGGGAGAAGTATGATACAGACTTCTACGTCCTTGACAAGTTTCCCATGGCCGTCAGACCGTTCTACACGAAGCCCTGTCCCGACGACCCCACCTTCTCCAATTCGTATGATTTCTTCATGAGAGGGGAGGAGATTATGTCGGGCGCACAACGAATTAATGAAGCGAAGGAGCTTGAAGCTGCAATGTCGGCTAAGGGTCTTGATCCGAACGCTGAAGGATTTGAAGACTACATCGGGGCGTTTAGACAGGGGTGTCCTCCACATGCTGGTGGAGGACTCGGTCTGAATCGTATTGTTATGTTTTTCCTGGGCCTTCCTAATATCCGATTAGCGACGCTGTTTCCCCGTGACCCGCAACGCCTCCGCCCATAAGCCTATCGCTTTTTCTAACCAAGAGAGTAGGCAGTATCTGTAGAAATGATGGGAAAAGTCAGGGATTTTCTCGGATATAAAATCCCATGAAATAATGAAATCAAATTTTATATTTATAATAAATATGCCATAACTTTCGACAGCGCATTGGCGTTAAATGAACACACTCGTAACTGCGTCTAGACCTTGTATATTTCGAGATCCTGGAGGAGCTGTGCTCAAATCCTCAGGTGGTCCAAGCTCCGGCAAAAAACCAAAATTTACTAATAATCTCATATTTAGCACCAAGCTCTGGACAACGCGACACTCTACAAGGGAATGTATCTTGTCGCATACAATATCAGGAAACATGCCTGACAAGCGCAAGGACCCTTCTTCAGAATCGAGCAGTCCTCCATACCCCAAAAGGCCCCGTCCTACAGACTCCAACGATGATGAAGAATCATACCCTCCAACCCCCAAAACACCAACCACAGCACGCATTCAGCCCAAAAATGACCCCGTCTATGGGCAGAGACATGCATTTCCGGGACTGGACGATCTTGGAGATGAGGATCAATTATGCTACGACCCTCCAGAGGATGGAATCGAGTATCTGCGTATGGTCCGGTAAGCAACTTTTTCTTTTTTCTTTTTTTTTTTTTTTTTTTACCCCAGGCCTTTACAAACATTGAACTTCCTGTGGCTAAGAAGTTTTTGTTCATATGTATATTTGTTCTCTCCATGCAGCTTTGGCAATAGTAAAGTGATGCTGATGGCAATATCCCGCCGTACGTTTTACGCGGTGCCATGCCTTTGATAATAGATCTGAAGCACGAACACTTCCAGCGATATTCGTCTCCAACACCGTCTGTCAAAACAAGGATAATTCGAGAACCCTTGAAACCCAAGGAAATAAAAGTAGCGATGACGACACCATGGCCAAGGAAGTAGAGAGCGGCCAGACCGGCTTTTACTCGGATGGAGTCTATGTCGCATACTACTCCCAAAACCCCCAAGCCGAAGCACCCCACACAAGCGCTCCTGACGCGCAAGAGATATACTACAACCTACTCCACCACCGCTTCCTTCTTCTTCGATCAACACTAAAATGCACACCACCAGCATCCGTGATTGCTTCTTTAGGCGCGGAACGGCCCATTTCTCTCCCCCGATCCAACAAGCATGCCAGGGCTGAGTGGGAGAAAATAATACAGACAATGGACCCTCGCATGGCGCAATTGGCATGCATGGATATGGAAAGTGTGCTGGGGCTTCTGGCCGTTGTTGCACGCTTGTTATCTAAGACAGTTAGGGGCAATGACAGCGTGCAGGTGAAGAGACTAGGTGCATGGGCATGGGGGCTCTTGGGCCGTTGTCGAGCTGTGGGGGAAATGGGAAGTGAGGAAGTGGGGGATATAAGGGAGTTGGGGAAGAGGGCGGCTAGGATTTTGGTGAAGATTCGGGAAAGTGAGGTCGTGGAGGCTCAGGGTCTGGAGGGCGAATTTGATATGGAGGATGGGGAGAGAGGAGAAGTCGTCGAAGAAAATCAAGAGGAACGAGAGGAGAAAGGGGTTGGCACTGGGGAAAGTATTAACAGGAATGGGGATGGGGGTGATAACCAGGTGAATGAACTGGATATTACGAATGATGCTGCCAGCGCGGATGGGATATTAGGACATGAGGAAGCGAACGGAGACATTATCACCTCATCTAACGGCGTGGACACTCAGGACGAACTCGAAGCAGCCAAAGCACGTCTCCAAGCAAGACTGCAAGCCCAGCATACGAGTGGTAAACTAGAACCTGGGGAAAGTGAGATCGAGAGAGAGAATAACGATGAAGAAGACGGAGAAGGCAAGGTGGATGGTGATTACAAATCTAGAAATGCGCAGCAATATACCCGCGCCATGCTCGATATGATAATTAGTGTTATTGGAGAATTCTACGGACAGAGAGACCTGCTTGAGTTTCGCGATATATGGGAGGAAGATATAGGTCTTGCTTGGTAGTCAGCTTGCGTCAGGTGGAATTTATTGGCTGCTGAAATCCCCGATCCAGTCTTTCTTGCTTGCTTGCTTGCTTGCTTTTTTTAAATAAATATAGTTGCGCTATAGGCCATATTGATTACATTTTATCCATCACTTACATCTGATGATTTGAAACCCGTTTCTGGTATGGGAGGAAGAAGAATGATGATGCAGAGCTAGTAACTGTGCTGCGAGCCAAACCAAACATCTCGAACCATGCAGGTCTATCATTATGTAGCCGTATCAAAGCAGTAGAATGACAAAGCCTGCCATCGAAAGCAGTTAATAAGAATGATAGTGGTAAACATGAAGAGCGAGGATCTGGTCAAGGCGAGTTGACCTCGGGAGCGAAGACACCCACGTGTCTTCTCCATACACCTTGACCCCGGTTGATGGGGTGTCGCAACAAAATATCGTCAGATATATCTCACAAAACCACCAAGGTTACTCTTTTTCTTCCAAAGCATTCTTTAGAACCTGCGTCGTCAGATCATCCTGCACCCATCCCTCGATGCGAGCAGCCACATCTCCCACTAGTCGATCGTACGCCGCATTTCGAGAAACGAATAGCGACTGATGAGCAGTGACTTCATCCACTCCTTCCATGTAGACCCTCACCCACAATGGATCCCGCTCACCATTGGTTTCCCTTGGAGGGAGAGCACAAAATTTCCGGTCCTTTTTGACTTTACGGGTGGATTCGACTTCATTATTGCCGTCTAATAGAACTCCGTTCGCTTGGGGTGAGTGGCTGTGGTTGGTTGGGGAGGAGGTTGGAAATAATGACTCTTTGTTTCTCTGCATCTGTTCCTTTTCTGCAGCTAGTTCCTGCTTGCTGGTGAGTTTGTGGACAGCTTTTATTTTCTTTTCCCCTTCTTTCACTGCCTTCTCATAAGCCTTCATTTGGCGGGAGTGATCTTTTTGGGCTTCTTTTAAGAGGGCTTTTGATACATAGGAGCTTGGGTGGTCAAACTCTGGTGGTCGGCGCGGCTGAGGTGAGAAATCAAGATATGTATCTTCCGCCAGGATAGTATGACTGTTCTCTGGTGCACTGTGAGTATGTTCTACTACCAATTGGTGAATTTCGGCACTAATTTCTTCTTCATTTTTTGCTTGCGACAAAGCGACCGGATTCCCCGTCTTTTCTTCCGTTGGTGTGCGAGGATCGACAGATAATGATACAACGTGGCCAAGCTCGGAGGGAGACGTGGGCGCTGTGCTCGCTGACCTTCCGTCCAGCACACTTGTATTAGGACAATTGTCACCGTTACTTCCACTAGCAGGATATTTTATTTTTCCTGTGGACGCAGTGTAGTAGTTAATAAATCTAATACGGCGATATGACCGGCCGCTCCCATCCCGCCTTGGACTGCAGTCGTCAATATCCTCCAATTCTCTCAGACGCTTATATCGGCGTTTGAGACCAGAGTAGTCAGCAATGCACAAGCCGAACTCCACATGCGAAGAAATATATTTCTTAGTCGCATCCACAAGCTGGTTAGAATTTTTAAGTATAAAATTAAAAGCTCCGTCAAGCTGTGATCGTTCTGTAAGTCGGGTGTCATTCAGGAACATCGGGTCGAAGTTAGGATCATCAGGGGAAGAAATGGAGGGCTTCATGATTGAGGAGTCGACGGGAAAAGGTTGATTTCGCGGGTCCTTTTTCTTGATTTTGGACCTAAACAAACTCCCGAAGCCGGTGGTGATCACACGATGATGCAGGCCCAGAAATGGGACATCCAAGTTTATAGTCCCCATAATCCGATGCTTAAACATTTCTGGGCCCTGTGGATCAGAGGGGCCAAGGAGGGCAATCTCTGCTGCAAGAATTCCACCTAAGCTATGTCCAACTAGCACGATGTCTGTATCAGGAGATTCATGAGGGCACAGCCTATCAATGAAATGTGATATATCAGTGTGAATATCCCCTAGCGAGAAGGGGGAGAAAAAGTCAAGGGCATTCACCAATAACTCAAATCGTCCCTAACAAGTTCGATTGCTTTTCTTGTCTTGTATCGGGGATAGATTTTGGAATGAACGACGTGCGATTCAGAGAGCATAACAGTAAGCAGATTATGGACATGCACGGGGAATTTTTTGAAGCTGGTATCCGACCCTACAAAACCATGGATGTAGATGAGTAACAGTGTTCTTCGCCCATCTCGATTTGAGCAAACAGGGAGCAGAGATTGCATCGACGGTGAGCGATTATCTTCTTTAACGCGAGATCGAGTTGGAGAACGCCCTTTTCGCTCAATTTGAGCGTCGTGGTCATCATCCACATGCGGGAGCGGTGCTGAATAGGGAGTCAAATGAATGGTATCCGCTCTGTGCATGGTGATCGGGATATTGAAATCTGGCGACCCCCCTGGCGACGCTGGTCTCTGCGTAATTTGCTCAGACATTTTGAGTAATAGAAAGGTTGATTTGTCTATGCAATTGGAGTTGGCCCATGGGACCAGCGAGTGTTGAATGTTATAAATGCAGAGGCAACGGAGCCTTCACATTGGCAAAGGAAGGAAACAGCCATGGACTGTGAGACGCTGCTCAACCTCCCTAGCTCCGCATGCGACATACTGAACCATTTTATTCACACAATTTCTATACACAGCTGTGATTGTTGAAATTGATGTCTTTCGTGGGATGGGAGAAGATGGTTGGTTGTTGCTGGCTGCGACATTCGCGAACAGCCAGTCAATAAATATGTGCTTGATATTTATTGTATTCCCATTTTGAGATAACTACCTCGATGATTCTTCGTCTTTGCCATCCTGAAACCATAATAGCAGCCACGTACGAAATATTTTTCTTGCTTCAGAATTTAGAAATACCATGTGCAAGCTTCTAGATGTCATTGTACTCAATTGCCTCTTCGTGGCAGGAAAGGTCCCATATTTATCTGCACGCCTAAAATATTTACTAGTGTCTAAATATTTAAGTTCGCTCTCTCTCACGTCGTGAAGTCGTGACTTATCTTGAACCACCAACTACATCCAGCTGATCCTCTACCCAACACTCAACCTCTGAGTCAACTTGCTTCCAGAACAACATTAACCCTCTTCTCCGTTTGACTGGTATGCAATCAAGGACAGACACGGATGCCCTTACCACCTCGCAGCCTCTAGGCTTCCTTCTGCCCTAGCCATGGCTCCGGCCATCGAAATATCCATTCCAACAACTACCCTCTCCACGACCCCTAGCCCTTACACCATCTATAACATCTCCATTAGACTCCCATTATGTACATTTACTGTCCAGAAGCGCTATTCAGAATTTCTTGCCTTCCATGCCTCATTATCAAGCCAAGTAACCGCCCCCCCGCCCGCGCCTCTACCTGGAAAATCCTGGTTCACGAACACGAACTCCAACCCAGTATATCGAGAGAAGCGCAGGGAGGGGCTGGAAGCGTATCTGCGTGCCATCAACGAGGCTGAAGACCCGCAATGGCGTAATTCAAGTGCTTGGCGCGCATTTCTCAATCTGCCCAGCGCTGCTCGGAGCAACGGCTCCTCTCGTGCCTCATCACGTTTACATGCTGCGGTCATGACACCAGGAGCCGGCGGAAATGCAGGCCCTATCACAGACCCGGTTACCTGGCTCGATTGCTACCGCGATGTAAAGTCACAACTCCACGATGCTAGACTCTATCTCACACGTCGCGATCAGGCTGCCACTCCACAGAAACAACACGAGTGCTCTGCGCAGGCGAAGAGCAGCCTTGTTCGAGTGGGGACGTTGCTGACTGGCTTGGATGACGGGTTGAAGAATTTGGGCAACAGATCTACGTGGGGTGGTGATAAGCTGGGTAGTGGTGAGCTGAGGCGAAGGAAGGACCTGCTCTCCAGTGCTCGGAAGGAAAGAGATGGATTAGAAAATTTATTGAATTCCATGTCCGCCAAGGCGAAGTTGGACAATGCCGTTGCATCGGTGCAGGATAAAGAAGCTCTTGTCGGGGCGTCAAAACCCCGACCAGGCCGGATATTGGGCAAAGAGACGGATCAGACGAGGGAGCTAGACAACCAGGGCGTCTTGCAGTTGCAGAAGCAGGTCATGGAGAATCAGGATGTGAGCTTGGAGGATCTACGGAAGGTTCTAGCGCGCCAGATGGAATTGGGAGTTGCGATTAATAGTGAGTTAGAGATTCAGAATGAGATGCTTAAGATGGTGGATGAGGATGCGGACAGGTCAGTGGCGATTCTTTTCACCGTTCCGATTCATTATATGAGATTGGCTATTACTGGAATGTTCTACTGACAGCTCGAAATGCAGAGTAAACCGCAAGGTCGAAATTGGGAAAATGAGAGTTGGAAAGATATCCTAGATTGTCTTACCGTTGCATCCTGAAATGTCCTTGCATACTTTTTAACGAGAGCAATCGATTTAGCCAGGCACTATGAATTACGTTAAATGGCGTTTATTTTGACAGTTTACCATGATTCCCCTCAGGGGTTTTGGATTATATATAATTAGTGCTATGCTACAATATTATTAAATAAGTTCATTTAACTACCTAAGTCATTAAGTCATCCTATGAGTGATATGAACGAAACGGTCCCCATTCGTATTCTGGATCGCAGCAGTGTCATGCGAACTTGCGCCACCGCCCTATCCATTGCTTATTTTGCGGATAAAAACTGACCAGATGTTAGAAACGGCCTTACGGTTAAGAGGATGTAAAGCATGAGATGGGAAGCGGTTACTTACCGCCCGAGCTTCTTCCTCCGTCACGTCGGAAAGCTCGGAGAGCCTCTTATCAATCAACCCGAGCCTATTTTTCCTTATATACCACCACATTTCGCGCCTATCTCCACCAAGGTCATTCCCTAGTAGCTTCGTTTTCAGGTTGCGGATGAAGTCATTATAGAGGGCTGGCTCCTCAAAGGCAACTAGTTCCTCTTTCATGGTTCCCAAGCCTTCGATAGCCCGATCATAGTTGGCATCGCCCAAACTGTGTCTGATTTGGCTCTCGATTATGGAAGACATTTGTTTCACAGCATCCTTGACCGCGTCGATATCCTGTGAACTAACCAACGATTGCTTGAATTCAGGTATGGCGTTATCAGGAGAGATCTTGACACGTTTTTCTGTCTGGAGAAGCTCTTGGACGTTTAAGCCCGAGAGCGGTTTGTCTATTTCTCGGTCGCGTTTACGGCCTTTAGCCTTAGGGGGGACTGCGATAAGAAAACAGTCGTCAGCTATGAAGATTATATGCAGTAGTGTTCTTGAAAAAGAATAAAGTACCCTTTTTAACATCGGAGGTTGCTATGAGATTAGCAAGGGAATTTTCGCTCTGAGCTTGTAGGTCCTCCGGCTGACGTGATAATTTCTGAAGGATCTCGGGCACCGGAGGGAGAGGCTCAGAGGGGTGGACCGCACGCCACCGAATGGCATGGTCGATCCGATGCAAAAGGGGCGAAAAAGAATTTTCTATTAACATAGACTCGATGGTTTCTCTGCCTGGAGTAAGCTATCAGGACTTCTTACAAGAAGTTTGACCACTCACCCATCTTCATCTTTTTCAGTGAGCTCCAAGCTATCGACATACTCGGCCATCCTGGAAAGCAAGGAATCACTCGGGAGGTTCCGATGTTCAGTCACCGTTTTCCCCGAAATTGTGACGACTTTATCCAACGGCGGGAAACGGTAGGAGCGCATGTCTTCTGCAAAAGGCAATTGCACCTCGAGGAAACACTCATAATCAGGCTCTATCGAAGGTGCAAGGAGAACTACCAGTGGAGATTTTCCAGCTTTTGGAACCAGCCTTGCCACAGCATAACATTCAAGTTCGAACAAGGCGTGAATTATCGACGAAAGTGCAAGGATAGCTTTATTATTCGTCTTTTGCGCAATGATAATATTGGATGTTGACATGTTCATATAGCGGTCGTACTATTGTCCATGAATTAACAGCCTTGAATGTGTTGAAATGGAAAAGGGATTTACGAACGTTATCACTTGGGATGAATCCTATAAACTCCAAAGCAGCTTCCGTTTCCAGTTTGGTGATGTTTTCATCTGACTCGGTGATATGCACGGCAGTGCGTCCATACTCGTAACCTTTGGCAAGTTCATCTCGTGCCACGTCTCGCTTACCTCCCGCAGCTCCTTTGTCATCCACCTGATACGTCCGAGCGTTTCTCACAGCGGTTAAGGAAGCAGCTCCAGCCCCTCGTTCCTGGCTAGGCTCCTTGGCCGCTAGAGTAGCTGACGACTGAGCGGTCTCTTGTCCTTCTGATAACGCAGATGAGGAAACAAATGAACTTGCTGGAGGCGGCCGAGCCGCATAGGTTCGATAGTATCTTTCCACCTGGATAGTTAGGGCAGATGAATATTGGTCCGGATCCCCTAGTCTTAAGTCACCTTTGAAAGTAGGCATCGACCGTACAACTTTCGTTCGAGGTATCTCCATCTCGGATATTGCATGTTCCAAGGTACCGAATATACCCTCGCAATCCTCGACAAGCTGTTTCAGATGGCTCTCATTTTTGGCCTGACGGGTTGGTCACTATTGTCCCTCTTGTATTTGGCAGTGAAGCCTACCTTCAATGGCTCCTTATCTTCTTCTTTGAACCCATACTCCGGATCATCAAAATCAACACCACTTCTCCAAGTTAGATGAAATTCTGTCGCGAAAGGCGAAAGGGAATATTTAACTCACAGTATGACAAGCTCAATATTTTCTTCGTTTATTTTGCTCACAATTCCATCGATCCCGTCTATATCCATAGCACCCATTCCATCTGTAACGAGGACAATTTTTCGCTTGTACTTCAATTTTTTACAATATCGTACAATCATATCAATTGCCAGGATCAGAGAAGATATTGCTAGGGGCCTATGAGAGAAAGATCTAAAAATAAACAAACACAAAATTTCGGTCTATCACACGTACCATCGCCTTCTAACGTATGGCTAGGTTTGATCAATTCACGCAGCTCGCGAATTTGGGGCATGAGAATCCTAGGAACGCAGTTATTAGCCCGAAAAAATACAAAAGCGACAAAACCCAAGGTCTCAACATACTGGCTTATGTCTTGGAAAACGGAGATGTTGGCATAGCTTTCCTCTTCATCTTTCTCCCATAATGGATTATTGGAGTCTATCATACATGCTTAGCAAAACATCTTACATATCGGAGAAGACAATCTACCATCAGTTTTGAGGCCAATTACTCCAAGTGTCGCCGTTTTCCTGCCCGTAGCAACCTAGATAATTCGTGTGAGATATGGTCAATGCAAGGAAATTACAATTGTAAATACCGTGGTTGTTATCTTGTCCCATATATACCGCATAGCCCAATCAAGGTCTGATATCGACCTGCCATTATGGCATTCACCCATAGATTTGCCGACATCAACAATATACACAGTAGCCTCCTTGTCCGCCATCTTTCAAACCGCTTTTCCTGTGCAGGGAAGACGGAAGACGGAGATGAAGAGAATAATCGATCATGGGCCAGTGTATATTATGCAAGAAGAGAGCTGTCAGGAGCTGGCTTGTAGGCAGACACGCCCCAGACGCGAGGTCACATGCTTTCTTGAATGGTCGTGGAATTTAGTAGCTTATCATGTGGAAGTTGGCAGTTCCGCATTGCACTCGGCTTCTCTGGCAGTGGCCCGTGTGTTTATTAGTTATTGCCTCGCCGGCAATGACGATGCCGACAACATCCAAGCCTCAAGGACGGCTCCATTCGTGCGCTGGCAGGTTCTCCTCATCCTTGTTACATCAGATTTTTTTTCCCAGCCAGTTTGTCGCTCTATCCAAGGAAGACACACAGTACATAGTTATCTGAAATATCGTGAAGAATGGTTGAATTCTCGTTGGCACCATTTCATGTTATCAGGTTTGGCCCATCTATAACTCCGCGATTTTTGAGCCATGCTCGCACCACAGCTAATATTCCATGATTTAGCTATGGCACACTTCTTGGTGCCCAGCTCTATCAGGTTCGTTCACGATTTGTCGCCTGATGTCCGCTTATGCTTGATACTGAGATTTGGTAGACCTTTGTGGGCGGTATCATCGCATACAGAACACTTCCCCGCCCTCAATTCTCCACCCTCCAAGCGTCAATGATTCCCGTTTACTTCACTCTACAGGCATCACTACCAGTAGTCGTTGCTTTAACATACCCGGGAGAAAGGCCATTTGGGGGGCGCGGCGTATCTGGGCTATCCGGAGTATTGGCTGAAGGCAACCGGACGACAGCATTATATCCACTTCTTACAATGTTCCTAGCTGGCCTGACAAACAGGTTGGTCCTGGGCCCAATGACTGCTAAGATCATGCGCCAGAGGAGACATCAGGGTTTGTTAAAGTCCCCTCTCCATATTTTGGGGCACCCACAGCTAATACTGCGGATAGAGACGATCGATGGAAAGAAGTGCTACGATCCCGCTCCTCACTCCAAGGAGATGCTTCGTCTGAACAGAACCTTTGCCAAGGTTCATGGGGTCTGCTCCTTGGTTAGTCTTTTGAGCATTAGCTCAGCAGTATACTATGGAGTGGTGCTCGCAAATCGGCTTGAATAATTGGCGGCAAGGCACATCTACCTCCAACCTCCCTTATTATTATCAGGGGTCTTTCTCATCATTGAAGCAATTATTTCTTATTAATTGGCATCGAATCTCACCTCAATTGTCATATCTCGAGTGTTGCGCGTCGTACTGTACATCACTGGCAACTCATAATGTCAACCGCTTTTATCGTTCAAAGGATACTCCACCTTTCTTGTTCTTCGAGTATGTATTATTTCGTTAAATTTTGACCTCATATACCCAAGAAACATTGGACATTTCAGCATCAGCACATGAAATGAACTCTTTGTTATACACTGTATCAACTTCTTTATTTACCATAATTATTCTCCGAGGTACTCATTTTACGGTCCCCTACTATTTTACAAAATGGGTTACGGGTTTCGTTAAGAATCTCCTTTCCAGTCTCAGTCAAACATCCATTTTGCATTGTTGCTATTATTAACCTATCCAACGTACCTCTTTGCTCGTAAGTGTTCATTGATTTATACAATTTTATCATTGTTCCTTATGCAGCGGACATAAAGAATTGTGAGAAGGGAAGCTAGCTGACTTTGAATGGCCGCCATCACTATTGTTGGATATCATTAAATCCTATCCACTAGTCTTTAATTCGAATTTGATTATCAGTTCTTGTAGGGTTTCTTTCACTATCAATGCTTCAAAAAATTCTCATTCAGGGCAAGCCTTGATTTCTCACTTATTTCTTCTTTCTATTCACGCCTGCTACAACGGATTCTGTCTTGTAGCCCCGGGCACCTTCAAACCCATTCGAGTTCCTTCAAACAACACCGTAAGCTTACTCCTTTATTGTTGTGTTTTGCAATCCATTTCGTTCACTCTCCCAATGATATTTGCACCATACTTCTGCAATGTCCTCATAAATCGAGCATAGCATCAATTCAGTCAGACACATAAAGCATTTCCCTATACATTGACAAAATGCCCGTCTAAACTTCCTTGCATCTCTGTCCTCCATCCCATATTACGATATACAAGCAATTTTCTTTCTCTATTTCAAACTTATCGTCGCCATGGTCCTCATTGGGCTTGTGATTTTGTCAGTCTCTGTGGCTCTACTATTTGAGGGACTCCAGGAAATTCCGGTCACTTATATCAAGCCGGCGAACGGTTTTGAATGGCGTTTATACGACGGATTTCGTTCCACATATGTTTTGGACAAGCTGGGAAAGGTGCTAGATATTGGTATCCCTGAGGAACAACATACTACCGTCCAGACTACGCCTATCCCAACTGGAATTCTGGCACCGATGCCGACAGAGGCAGACCGCGTAGTAGAACCAACTATGACTAGAAACTTTATTGAACCGCGAGCTTTAATCGAAATACCTGATCATGCCCAAGCTGGCAAAATAGAGGGGTTTTTGGAATCGCTCAAAACATTCTTTTTTGATGGCAAAAATGTCTTCGGCCAAGCCCTCATATTTATTATCTATGCCAGCGCCGTACTACTTCTTCTCCGTGCGACACGTACTTACTTTCTATTCGCATACACCATATGGAAAAGGGGTAGGTTATATCTCACTGGTAGAGCAACGCATGGTGGAATTGACAAAACGGACGCTGAGTTTGAGCTCCAACGATATCTTCTTTTGAGTAAGATGGATTTAATCAAAGCTTCAGCTGAAGTGTTCACATTATTAAAAGCTACAGATGGAGAGATTAAGCAGCAGATGGCGAGGATCACTACTACATTCGCACAGTGTTCAAAAGAAATACTCGAGGAATGTGTGCTCTTGAAGGAGGCTGCGCATGGCTTGAAGACAGAGTATACGACCTGGCCGACACGAGATGAATTGCTTCGTGACTATATTGGAAATTTCAAGGACTCCCTCACCGCCGCGAAAGATGATCTAGACTCTGAAATCGACAGGCTAAAGAATCTTATACCAAACTTTACAGAAGAATTTCATCGGACAGTCAGAAGGCTGGATGCAAATCTGTTGGGTAGTCTGCCCATGGTGTATCTGAAGGAAAGACAGCTCCTCGAGTCGAACATTAAGACGATCCGTGAAGCCATGAACCAGCTTCCTTATTTCGGGTCTCTAGAACATGAAGTTGCGTTGGCTAGGACGGAGATGGAGAATATCCAAACCCAGATGAGGAGCATGGTCACTGATAGCCGTGAGGCACTTCGAAATACGGTTTGCATATATCAGGAGATAGATGAGCTAAAAGTATGTATCAAACCATAACTTATGTTCCAGCCCATAGTTATGTGGTTCCTAATAACATTCGTTTTCATGTTAACTGGTCAGTCTATCATCTTAGGACAAGTTACGCTATTTAGAGGAGGAGCTGGCCCCCTCCAGGCTAGCACCCAAATCAGCCAACATAAATGAAAAAGGTTTCCGTGACATCCCAAAGCTTTCGATGGTGGGGCTTCCCACCAACGCACTAAATGATTTTGGTGGAGAGACAAGCAACACCGATTATCATGGGGACGCGAACTATGATATGCGACAGGGACTGAAGAAACATGGGAAAGTAGATGAAAGTGATATCGAATCTTTCTCTTCCTCTCTAGCACGATCCGTTACATCAAGCGAGCTTTCTGAGAGTCTGCTAAGGGCCCTGATGGTAGAACACCCCGCTGACATTCATGGTAAAGGGAAATGGAACATCGATGAGATGCGTCCTATTCAGTGCCAATATCACCACAATATCCTACATGTAAGGAAAGAAAAATGCTCTGGTCGTCTTCGCTGGAGAGTGACTCGGAAATAGAAGAAGCATGCAGTGGAGAGAAGCAACTCCAGAGCTCAAGCTAGATATCGCTGAGCATCCGAACTCAGAAAAAGGAAGAGAGAAACAAAATTCAACTCGAATCCATTATATTGCACTCAAATCTGAGAAAACTCCCATTCCCTGCTGAACTGACAAGTTCAATTTTGCTCTTGGTCATGGCATTTGGAGGGATTAATAAATTTGCCTGTTCTAACCCACTTGAGATTGAAGATGAAAACAGTCCATCGCTTATTCCCTTGCACAAGGCGTCATCTCAAAGAACTTTTAGGAATATAAATTAAATGTGTTAAGAAACACGAATAAGTTGAGCGAAGTGTTATGGCCAAGTAGAGGCGGGATAGTCAGCTAAATTGATTTGCTACAATGGATCAGCTAAGCTTAGATGGAGTCTAACTAACTTGAATAAGGAATAACTTGCCTTCCAAGGTTCTGTTGAAATAATAATTGGTTAGACTCCTGAACCTTAATGAGACCACCAACTTGCAGGAATCTACTCCGTACAACAGCTGCAAAATCTTCCGAAAGAGGTGTTTCAATATCTCCAGCCTACAATTTTCCGGCCTCCTTGTTTTTCAGCATAGAGAGGGAGGAATCTGACTTTCTAGGTTAGACATGTTTGTTATTGTAAGTGACCGTGCTGTTGTGCCTGGATGGGTCGACATCAAAGACTGCCCAAACAGCAAACCATTGATGGCTAATCTCTTGGTGTTCAGAAATCTGGTATTATGTCCTAATAAACCGACGCAGTATGCTCAGCATGCTGTAGTTCTGCAACAAAGCCCTTCGATGCTAGTGTCTGTTTGCAGCATCTATGATGGACTCATATATCTACTGTTTAAAGGCTTTTGAAAAAGCTTTGTTGTGAGCCCTTCGATGGTGGGTTTGTCCCCTAGCCCACAGATGTATGAATCTGTCATCAGCGCGTAAAATGTACTGCCTTCATGGTCTTTGGTAGTACTCAGCTCTTTGTTTATGAAGCACATGGGTATAGTCAGTGGGATCACCCCCCACTGAAAAGAATTCCAATCATTGCAGCACTTCCATAATGGAGGCAATTGATAGTATACCCACAACCTTGCACTAAAAGATAGCATTTCATTCATGCACAGAACAGCGCTGAGCTATTGAATACTACGAAACATCGGCTGCGCTGCAGGCCAGGTTTGAAGGAGTAGGAGCAAACAATCCTTAGAGCCCTTTCCCCCACAGCCAATTGAGCTGATTTGATGAATGAACTTCATCGTTTGCAAAGCTTCCAAGCGGCTGAATGAAAGAGGACCCATCTGTTTTACTTCCCTGGCCCGTTTATGGAGCGGCAGTTATATATGACTGGGATTTCCCTCTCCATAGTCATTATGTTTCTGTGCAAGCTGTTGCTTTATTTGGATCCGCCATTTGCTGTTATCGTGGGGCCCGCTACGTAACGAAGTAAAATACTTCACGCTTTCGCCAACAGCATCTAACTACATTGCTACTCCTGAGTCTTTTAATTTCTTCATATTCCCCATATAAAGCTCCTACAACAAGTCCACATTGATTCCATCTTCCACCTTACGTTTACCACCACGCTACTATCTACTTGATATCAACGCACGAATTTGCATTCTCTCTCCATTTCAGACTGTTCAACCGAATTAAGACTTCCTGGAGTCTCCTTTTCCCACACCCAGTCAGAGCCTCAGGCCTCCACATAGCTGTCTTTATCAGAACCATGGAGCTTTACCTACTTGTTGGCGTATTTACGCTTTTAACCAGTATTGGGTTTTATCTTCCAGTTCCGCTTACGAATATTCACCCAGATAGACCTCTTCCAGATCGTCTCGTTGGGGCACTCCAGCTGACCGCAACGGGAGAATGTGCTGCAAGGATCTATAATTATCTTAGTACATCGCAACGTCGTGATGCGGATGCTTATGTCTTGGGAGCTGATCCAAAATCCACGAAATCCATACAACATACACGCCAATCCTTGATCGGTTTCACCCTTTACTGCGCAGAGAACTCTCCAAGATTTCCAAGAACCCCCGCAGACTGTCACAATTTTTGTGACCTCAACAATTACGGACCACTTCGGAGCCGGCCAAACGATAATGCCAGACAATATTTATGAAGTTCCAACTAATCCCGAGTGGGTTTTATCTAGATGGATCGTCCTGTTCGAGGACGCAATAGTACGCCACCCAAATATGTATACAACCGTCATTCTTTTATTTGCCTTTGGAACCTGGTTGCTCTCTCGCAGCAGAAACTCTAAAATCTCAGAGAGTCATAATAAAACTCCGGTGTCATCTAAAGGAACTGACACCGAGTTTGTACAAGCCTTAACTCGACTTTTTGAGCTGATATCTGGCCAGATGAACGTTGCGAATACGACATCAAACATGTCAGAAACTTTCAACGCCAGTCTGAAACATGTTCAAGAACAGGTGAACCAATTGCAATCAGAGCAAAGGTCCGGACTAACCAGCGCCCGTTTTGCTTCTCTAAGCAGCTTGCTAGACGACTTGAAAAATAAAATGGCCTTCAGAACAGAGCTTGAGGAATTGTCCGCTAAAGTTGAAACTTCGAACACTTCCCTGCAATCTCTCAAAGAACAGGTAGGCCACCTGTTAGAATCTCCACATTTCAAACCCACTCCGGTGGAGCTCGCTTTCTTGATCAACCAGGTGCCTGATACACAACTAAAATTCACTTCGAAAGCGGACTTTGATCAGCTCTTCATCAAGTCAACTGAAATGATGGACACGCTGGACTTGCAAGATGTAAAGCTTCAACAGGCTGTCGACCGTTGGAATGAATTTACCACATGGCTTCAAGAACTCCAGGAAAATATGCAGTCCCTTCGAGTTGGGCTTGAAACAAAAGGAAAGGAAGTGAAGGATTTGGCGATGGGATTTGCGAATCTTAAAGAAAATCAGAAGGAAGATCTTCAAGTTGCGCAGCGAACGCTAAAGGACACACAAACTGCAATATTAGAACTCAAAAAGAAAATCACCTCGTCATCTAAGAGAACGGATGAATTAGTTCGGGAGATCGACTCATTAAAAGTGCAAACCAACAATAACCAAAAGACAGCAATGTCGACTGTTGTTCTGGCTGACCAAATAGACAAGCTTCAGGCAAAAGCTGCTTCCTCCGAAGAAGCAATACGGAAATTGAATCGAGAGTGGGAACTTTGGATGCATGTCGATGATGTCAGCGAGACCGGTGGTTCGATGCAAGACCCTAATACACAGGTCGTGGGCATCCGTTCGGAGGTTGAGTCGTCCGAGAACATCGCAAATACGAAGACTGGTGACTTGGATACTTTGAAACACGGCCCCCAGGAGTCAAACAATCGAACTGATGAAATCCAAGAGAAACTCAAAACCCACGAAGCCGCGGTTCAACGATTGTCTGATGAATTGGAGGCGTTAAGGAACGACAAACAGGACCCGATCAATCAGTTCGAACTGCTCCAAAATAAAATCGGGACATGCGAGGAAGCTACGAATACGCTGGTCAGGGGTTTTGAAAAATTTAAAAATACCACTCTGGAGTCAAAAAGCCAGAGCGGCGAACTTCGAGGGAAGCTGAAATCCCATGAGGAGATTCTCCAGCGACTATCTAACGACTTGAGAGAGTTGAACAATAAGAAGGACTCTAACAACGAGTTCAAGGAGCTCGTGGAGAAAATAAGATCGTGTGATGCGGCTATAGAAGGGTTGACTAAGGAACTAGAAACTAAAAAAAATGACCAACAAGGCAGCCAACCTGCAACAGAAACCGACATGAAAATTGAGAAGCTAAAGTCAACCCTTAACCAGGTGGATACAATCGCCCTGACGACTCGATGTGATGTGGATCGAATCACCACTCAGATCAAGGAGTTTGGCCTGTCAACACAAGCATGCCGTACCTTGCTCACTCAGCAGGGTATTGAGATTTTCAAAATCCGTGAAAAGTTAGGCATCACTACACCTCCAACAAGCCCGCTCGATATCGAGAGAGGTATGGTCCAAAAAGATGTCGCAAAGTCGGCAGCCATGTTTGCCCAAGTATCAAGCGGGAAAAAATCTACCAAAGACAACGGAAATGAGCCTCCCCAGACGTCCACTGTTCCTGGGGATGATAAACCAAGCCCATCCACAGTAACATCGGAAACGCAATTGAAAGAGAAGCTTAGTTGGAGAGATGCGACCTCTGCGAGTGAAGGAACTACTTCCAACGAGTCAGCAAAACCTTCTACTCAGTCTACTGCGTCGACATCATTGGCATCCGCACCCGTGGCTTCGACTCCAGCACCGAAACGACAGGCACCGAAACAGCGAGATAAAAATAATAGTCGCTGGGATCCGGCGTACGTGGAATCTGCTGACATACCAGAAGTCGAAGAAAAAATATCTCAAGCGGCTCCCGGAGCTAATCCAGGACTGAAGGGAGACATCACCAAGGAATCAGGCGACCCTTCGAAGCAAATCACTTCGTCATCCAAGTCTTCAGCTTATCCACCAAGTTCGGACCCCGCTTCGAAACAGCCAGATAAAAATATGAGCCGCCGGGATCCTGCGTATGTGGGACCAGAGGGTGCATTCTCACACAACAAGAAGGCGACGAAGAAGAAAACATTTAGGAAGTGAAACAGTGCTCAGGATCGCTTGGTGGGTTCGCTGCCTGTTCTTGTTTCAAACTTGTGTCTTGATTCTTCGCTACAGGATACATCTGTTTGGCCCAAGGCCCAATCATCACCATTGTGTACAAACCAGACACTAGGCTCTCTCAAACACAACTCCTTCTACTACTTGCTAACTTCCAAAGATCAGTGACGAGAACGTTGTCTTGAGATTTGGTGCCGCAAGCGAGGTCGCCTATCTGAGCCTCCAAATCAATCCTTTAACTCTTCTCATAAATAAAATGTGCGTTAAGAATATTTATATACTTACGACTTCATGTCTTCCGTTATTGCGAGGGTTTCTGGCCCCGGGAATTAATTGATTAAAAAAAAAAAAAATAGGATATAGATTCTCGCAATTGAGATGCTGGAACTTGAAGTCTGGGTGGTGTTTCAGATATTGAATTGTTTTCTCACATTTGTAATGTATGTACTGTACTATACCTAGGAGGCTGTAAAGCCTTGAGAATGCTCGGAATATTTAAAATGTCATGAAAGATATCGTACTCGGCATGATCATAGGGGAAGGGTATCAAAATCTAAAAAGTCTCAATGTGTAGGTCAAGTACGCCAAAGACTAAGGTGTGTAAGTGAGGTGGGGAGAGATCGAGACAGCTCAAATAAAAATTCCAAGCGGGACTCCAAAATTTGGCGGTCATTTGAATGTTTTTATTTTAAGTTGTTGCCGTAGCAGAATACTGCAAGCATGCGTGCGTAGTGAAGTATGGTCACAGACCACGCTCTTCAAAAAGATATTTCCTACATGCAGCCTTAAGCATATCAATCCTCTGCTGTGTATGCACGAAAACCTCACGATACATCTGCAAGCTCTCATTCACCACTTCCGTCTTCGACTTTGTACCGACGCAAATTTCTCGCATCCGCAATTCCATTTCCTTTCGTAGAAATGGTTTGCTCAGGCTCGGACTGTCGGGCAAGCCATTCACGACATTATCATAGCCCTCAACGAGAGCAACACCAAGCTGAGTGGGGATAAATTCTTGTACAGCATTATTACCCCTCCCACCACCACGAGGTCGAGTGGCTACATATTCTCGCTCCTTTATCTTTGCAATATGATCTGCCATTGTAGCGTCAGTTCCGATTCCATTAGCATCCATAAGACCAATAAGCTCAGGCTCCGTTAGATAACCTGGTGCAACGGTCTTGCCATCCGTGATTTTAGCTTCCGTGGGTTCGAACACCTCGCCAAGTGTGAAAGGGGGAATCTCTTGACTACTTTCCCATTTATCGTATACGTAAACATCTAAGTAATTCCTTTCCAGGACGAGAAGACCATGTGTGTGGAAGATCTCATCACCGTACTTTATTTCCACTTCGGTGGACTCGCCTTTTGCATCTTCAGAGCAGCAGGCGAGAAAACGTCGGGTGACGAATTCGTAGACAAGACGTTCATCGTTGGAAAGGACGGTTGGTGCTGCAAATATGACTGGATGAATGGGAGGGTGGGCCTTGTCGTTGTGATGACCAGCTCGTGGTTGGGTGAAGGAACCATTAATTAGACTAGGGAAATGGTCAATAAGGTCAAATTTATACCTGGAGGGCACTAGACAAGGCAACAAACCGCTGCGCATACTGGCCCCAATTTTCACTCGGTATTTGCTTTTCGATCAACTTTTTCAGATCAATTCCTTTGTCGAACTGATCCGTTTCCGTGCGTGGATAACTGATAAACCCTTTTGTGTATAGAGTTTCTGCGATCTAAATCCTATCAGCAAGACTTTGTGGCGTGGGGGAGCATATACCAACCTTCATAACTTTCTGGCTATCCATTCGCAGATACCTACTTCCCATCATTTGGAGGTCCACAGTAGTCAAAGGCAGTGGGCGCCATTTGCGTGTTGGTTTCTTGTGCATTTTCGTAACCTTAGCGGTTTTTGAAGTCAAGCACCGCTCAAACAGTATTACGACAGCAGCCCTGTCGTAAAGGTGGACCCTCCGCCACAAAAAGTTGACAGTTTTCCCATCACGGACATGTGAAACTTTGATGGTCCAGAATTTTTCTGGCTTGAAGTTTTTGACCCGGAAATATCTGTCGACCACAAATCCCAATGTCGGGAACTGGCAGGACCCTGGAACTGTTAAAGGCTCTGTGGAATTAGAAAAGTGGAAATTTGATATAAATACCGTAGCTGATAACTCTGTCCTCTAGGACACCTCCCAATGATTTGAGTTGGAGGGTTTGTAGCCTAGTAAAAGCTGCCCCGATCCTTAAATCCAGCTCGATCCGTGCAGCAACTGCATTAGCCTGACTGTCATCCAACTCTATTGGATTGGTCGCGGCCTGCAATATATGCCTAGAAAATGTCAGTACCAGGATTCAGGCATGGTTGTCTCCGTAGGCTAACTGACGCTCGTTCCGTATTACTGAACCTCGCCCGTTTAATCTCGATTCTTGGATTTGATTTTCTCGCCTGGTACCGTACTTCTGTCCCAATATGCTCTCCTTCACGGTCACAGTCAGTCCAAATAAATAGAGCCTTGGAATTTCTGGCCAATGTTCGAATATTTTCAGCGATAGTCAAGTTGTCCTGGGCCGTAGGTTAGGTCCCGTTCGTAGTAATTTGTGGAGTGTAGGAACTAACTTTGGCAACGGAATCTACCACAGGTGCGTCAAACAGCAGGCCAGGCGGGCAGGAATTCCAGCCTCTGTACTGCGAGTCAAAGTCCAAGCTCGTCAAGTGGCCAAGGACACTTGTCATGATCACCGAACATTGGCCCCATGGTGGAGCGAATGTGAAATCAAACTCGTAGTTTTTCACAAACACATTACCCCGAATCGATACCTACAATATCGCCCTGGGTATTAATTATTTTGATTCTTGAAGTCCCCTGGATCTTAATCTTACCGCGCGGCTTGAACCTCCAGAGAGATGCTGCGCTACCACTCTAGCAATTGCAGGTTTTTCTGCGACACATAAAATTTTGCGGGCCATTCGCAAGCGGTGAAATTCGAATTTGAAACTTGTGTCTGTGTCATACCCTTCGATTATGCCCCATGGCCATTTTTGACGTAAGGTAGCGGAAGGGAACTACCCAGATAACACCGTCACCGAGGTTGCAAAATGGCTGAGGAGTGTGTTTGCTATGAGGCTCTTATCAAGTTTGTCAAACCTGAGCCGCGTTGACGCGTTAAGCTTATTTCTTACCCGAGCTTCTCGTCACGCACGGACCAAGGCCACTTCTTGAATCAACAACCTGAACCATTTTAACCTCGCGACAACAGCACAGTTCATGAAATATTCCGACTATTCCGCCATCGGTCTAAGATGGCTTTGCCAACTGTATAGACATTTGCGGATTGCGCCGATTTTCCTCTCACAGTCTCCCCTTTCTTATCCAACTCATATCCCTTCCAACAAGGTTGATTGATAGCGGTACTGATATACTCCGTACAAGCTCTCCAACACATCTATGGCACCACAAACCCTTTCATCACAGCCATTGCTTTCGCGATATTTCTCGCCCCAGTCTTCTTGATTGCATCTGAAGTAACCAGAAACTATTCTCAAGTTGACCGCAGCTGGAGCATCCTTCCGATCGTCTACAACGTTCACTACTCCGTTTGGTCTCGCTTGACGCGGATTGCCAACTGGAATAATCGATGCTATTTGCGGAATCACCATCATTTGGGGTGGAAGGCTTATCTTCTTTGCTTACCATCCTGATGTTTCCCAATGCAGCGCGAATCATGGAGTTAAGCCAGTGAACTAACTCATTACATACCCACTTTAGCTTCGACTCACTTTTAACTACTGGAGAAGAGGCGGGTACAGCGTCGGATCAGAAGATTACCGTTGGGCCATTGTGCGGAGGAAAATAAACAACCATTTTCTGTTCATCTTATTCAACCTCACTTTCATTTCTCTCGCGCAACCAGTTCTACTAGCCCTCATCACCACTCCAACGTATATGTTTGTGTTACTGAGCAGTGTCTCAGAAGGGTCCAAACACGAACTTTCCGATTCACTCTTCTCACGGATTATCCTCTTCTTCGTCTTCATCGAAGCACTAGCAGACCAACAACAATGAAGATTTCAAAAAGCCAAGAAGGAGTACAATGAAATCGCTCGGATCCCATCCCAATATAAGGGGATATACACAAATGACGATCTGAGCCGTGGCTTTGTTGTGTCGGGTCTCTGGGCCTGGTGTCGACACCCAAATTTTGTGGCTGAGCAGGCGGTTTGGCTAGCATCGTACCAGTGGTCCTGTGTCCAAAACTGACCAATTGTACAACTAGACTGGCATTGGGTCCCTATGCTATGTTGCCCTCTTCCAGGGAAGTACATATCTTACGGAAAAGATTACCGCGTCGAAATACCCTGATTATAAGCAGTATCAACTGCGTGTTGGGAAGTTCATCCCACGATTAGGTGTCGAGGCGCGTGGCGAAATTCCGGAAGACAATGCTCTTTCGGCTTCGGTATCCGCATCTGAAGACCCCAATCAGCCACATAAGCCACAACTATCAAAAACGAAGACAACTAAAAAGTCGAGGTTAGACAACCCCTTTTTTCCCTGGATTGGAATTTCCATCACGCAATCGCCATATCTTGGACTCTTAAGAATATACCATTTTACATATGCTTGAGATCTTCTCCTTTTTCTAATCATTGATAATACTATGTTTCTATATACTCTCCATATGCTTGAGATCAACCCAACCCCCTATTTAATCCACTTCATCTACTCACAATATTCTGCTTGATGGCGGTATTATTGAGTCTGATTGAACCACAGCACCCATAATTCATAGAGGGATCCAGCATAAGGAAAATCTCACTTGGAAAAGTAACATTCTCATAAATTTTCTATTTTAATCTTCCATTTTCCTTCTTTCCCAGTTCCAAGGTGTTCATTTGACATACCTTTCTATGCCCTATACCTGATATGCAAACGAAAAGCTGGAGCTTTAGTATACAAGGGAGAAAATAAAGTTACAAATTATAAACCCAGAGTGTGGAGATTTCCAATAGGGAGAAGATGTCTGCCTGGGCGGCCGGATTGCGATTAAACAGGGAGCAGGGGTAAGGCCAATTGATAGTAAAAAATAATACCCATATAAGTGTGCGACGCATGAACACGAACACCTGGACACTTCAACCAACATGGAATTTAGTAAAATAAGTCGAATAGAGTAAAGCAAAAGGGAGAATGAAAGAAAGGAACAAATCAGCAACATAGGAAAAGGGTGTGTCATAAATGAAACAATAAGCAAAAGTAAAGAGGAGATGCTTCACGTTTAAAAACAAAATAAGTGAAATATTGAAAAGGCAAAAAAAAATCGATATATTCCTTTATGCTGAATGCGACGGTGCGGGACCTTCGTTCTCCTCTAATCGACTTGTCTCTGGTTTTTCCGCGAGAGCCTCTGTCGGTGGAGGAGGTGGTGCTATCGTCCCTCTGCCGTGCCCACCGTCGAAATACTTCGCAAACTCGCCAGATTCAGGGAATGGCCGCGGGCCAAGCAGACGGACCAAATCATCACGGCTAAGTACTTCCTTGCTCAGAAGCTCCTCAGCTACAATGCCGATTTCGGTTTTCTTCTCCGTTAGGAGTTTACGGCACTTGTCGTAAGCTTCATTGACAATCCGTCGAACTTCCATGTCGATGTCCCGCGCAGTGTCTTCTGAGAAGGGTTTTTGAAATTGTTGTTGTTCTTCATCATAGTACAAATAGCCAATTTTTTGAGACATCCCGAATTTTGTGACCATGGCGCTGGCCATGCGGGTGACTTTGTTGAAGTCATCACTTGCACCACTCGTCACAGTGTCGAAATGAAGCTCTTCGCTAACACGGCCACCAAGGGTCATCGCCATTCGATCCATGAGCTGGTTGAAATTCATCAAGTAGGTATCACCCTGGGCCGGTAGGTACTGGGCATAGCCTAGGGCACCTTGTCCGCGGGGAATTATGGATACTTTCAGTAATGGATCAGCATACTTGAAGTACCAGCCACATATAGCATGACCAGCTTCGTGATACGCCACTGTTTTCTTTTCCTCGGGAGATAGAACCAACGATTTCTTTTCTAGACCACCAATAACACGCTCAATCGCTTGCTCGAAATGGGCCATGGTTACCTCATCGGCACGGTAACGGGCAGCTGGACGAAAGGTTAGCTTATAAAGAGTATTTCCAGATGGAATTTTGCTTACCAACTAGTGCAGCCTCGTTGACACAGTTGGCAATATCTGCTCCGGAGAAACCGGGTGTCAAGGCAGCCAATCTGCCAGTCAAGTAGTCCAAATCAACTTTAGTGACAATCTTCTTCAAGTGAACGCGGAAAATCTGTTTACGGCCATCCATTGTCGGCCTATCAATGGCGATATGCCGGTCAAATCGGCCAGGTCGTAACAGTGCCTTATCAAGGATATCGACTCGATTAGTTCCGGCCAATACGACAACTTGGTCGGAAGTGTTGAAACCATCCATTTCAGTGAGAATCTGATTCAGTGTGCTTTCCCGTTCGTCATTACCACCGCCGTAGGCATTCTTGGATCTCGACTTTCCAATCGCATCAATCTCATCAATGAATATAATACAAGGAGTGTTTTTCCGCGCCGTTGCAAATAAATCACGAACTCGCGAAGGCCCAACGCCGACAAACATTTCGACGAATTCAGAACCGCTCACGCTGTAAAATGGGACACCAGACTCGCCAGCGGTAGCTTTTGCCAGTAGTGTCTTACCAGTACCCGGTGGCCCTGAAAGGATGGCACCTCTGGGGATCTTCGCACCAAGTCGTTGGAACTGTTCAGGTTTCTTCAGAAAGCTAACGAATTCCATAATTTCAACTTTGGCCTCGTCCATACCGGCCACGTCAGAGAACTTTGTCTTGACATCAGTCTCGTGATTGAATCTCTTCGCCCTGCTTTTTCCCATGCCAAATATGCCACTCTGGCCACCTCCACCTGTAGCGCGTCTCGAAAGCCAGATGCCGGTGCCTATAAGGACGAGCGTTGGGGCAAAACTAAGTAATGTACCCCCCCAGGAAACTTCATCTTGATAATCCACCGGGATACGTTCAGAAGTTGGTATACCGAGCTCCACCTGGGCCTGATCAATTTTCCTTTCAAATCCCTCAACGGATCCGATTGCGAAGACATAGTAGAAATTTGGCTGTGTCGCGGGCGATTCAGGATATACGTTTGCAACAGCTTCACGGTGAAGCTCAACCCGCACCTTCTTGCCGTTTCGTACCGTCAATTTGGACACGAGGCCTTTATCCAAAAACGTGTTTCTGAATTCCTGCCATGTAATATCCTTATTGACCTCGCCGGGAATAACGCTCCGATATAAGTAGTAAGAGAGAAAGGTAGCGACCAGAAAGGAGGCCGGGTCAAGTTTGAATTTGAAATCAAAAGGTGTGTTGGCGTTAAAATTCGGTCCCTTGGGACCGTTTTTCTGATCCCGCTGCTTCTGCTCCTGCTTTTGTTCCTGATGCGATCCTCCAGTTTCATCCTTCGACTTGCTCTCATCCTGTCCAGTCTGTTTCTCGTTCCATTTCTCAGATTTCTCAGACGAATATAGGCGTCGTTGACGGGAATCCCTGTCTGCCATCTTCGCCGCAACCACTGGGCCATGTCGTGTCCATATCCGAAATATCTGGGTTGCGTGTGCCAGGGTAAATTGATTGGATTCCTTGACTTGTCTGATAAGTTGCTTGACATCGTCCGGAACACCTTCTTCTTTGAATACTTCTGCCATCTCTTCCACAAATTTTTTCTGAGACGCAGGAAGCTTGTTCCTCACCATTCCCAGCACATAATCAAGCTCTTCGATCTCTTGCTGACTTGCCCGGTACTTTGACTTTTCGGGTTCCTTGCCGTTTGATCCTCCGGAAGGCGGTTTTCCGGAGGGAAATGGTTGACCGGAATCTTCATCGTTAACAGATGGAGGAGGTTTCCCGCTTTCCCTGCCAAGATTTGGAAATCGCCGGAACTGGGTGATATACGAGCGGGACTGGCGAGCTTTTGCTATAGCTGGGAAAAGATATGATTGCCGCGATGAAGGGAGAAAGTGTCGGAGGTATATAGGGCGCCCCGCCGCTGTCCCCGAAGATCGAGCAAGATTGCCAGGCCGTCGAATAAAACTGGCCATTGTCGCGGCAGGATGGAGGTGGAGCGTGCGGAAAGCGACAAGAGGTTTGGTAGACGCTCAATAGTAACTAAGGCGTGAAGAACCCATAGGAGCGTCACTTCGCTAGTATATATAAGGGGAATTAAAGTAAACAAAAGGGAGGACGAACAATAATCCCAGATAAATTCTTGCGTTCGTTGGAGAGGGAATGTGAAGATTGGCTGAAGGCGATGCGGCGGGAATTGTTGAAATTCCGTTTCCGAATTTTGCACTGGCTGACTCATCCACCGGTCCCACGGAACCATCCAGCATCCCATCTCAGGGGCCAGATCCTCCCGCTTGTTGTTATTTACAAAGCTAAAAGTATGTCGTGAAAGAAGGAAAGACAAAGCCGTGTATTGCTCAATGATGCAAGTGGATATTTAGCTACATATTATACATTTACAGAGATTCCGAATAAAGCGCCAGTTTCTACAAATACGCAGCGGAGTGGGACCCCAAGCGCCAAATAGCTTCCGTATCAGAGATATCTCATGAAGAATGCAGTATAAAAGTCAGTCCGTTTTCTACGTTTTCCATCTTTTCAAAAGTCAATCCTCTCCGCTTTGTTTCCATTCCCCCACAGCCTCAACAGCTTTTTTCCAATATGAGGGTGGCCTAAGTTGACCAACCTGTGTCAACTATGCCTGGTGCTCGTCTCCGTTTGCGAATGGGAAGTTACTGGGCACGTCTGCCCAGTCCCACTCTAATGTCATTGGCATCTGCCAGAGTTCCTGGGGCACAAATGGTTGTTGAAATGACGAGAAATCTATGGGCATTGGACTCGGGCTGGAGAATGACGGGCCGCCGCTAGTGAACGCACTTGGATTCACCTGGTTAGGGGTCAACATTTCTGAAGAAAAATTCTGCTCGTATCCGTGTCCGAAATGGGCTCCAGACGTGACCGATGCCGTTGTCACTGTCGCCGCAGTTGTCGCTGCTGGTGTTGATGATTCTGGCTCCATACGCGCAGGTTGGTTAAAGTAAACATTTCCATTGCTCTGGCTTGTTGGCTGGATACCTGAATTTGTTTGTTGGAAAGTTTGCGTAGATAAAGATTCTTTAGGTGTGACATCTTCCGGTTGGATATCCGGCGCGGAGCTAGCTTGGTGGTCACTGCCAGGCGGTTGGACAGGTCCTTCATCATTGGTGCCGTCGTCAGCACCTCCAGCCCGACGCTTCCGTTTTGTCTGAGATTCCTTTTCAGCCCTCTCCAGCACAACCTTTGCTATTCTCTCGAATTCAGAGCAGACGCCCAGCATTCGTCTAACACTCCCGTTCGATTCATCTGCGACGAGCATCGAAAGAAAATTTACGACAAGTCCCATTAATTTGACATCAGATCGTGCACGGGCATCTTGTGGGTTTTGAAGTATATTTGCAAACAGCGTGACCAATGCGGAAATAGGAAAGTAAAGAATCAACCTGGACATACAGAAGTAAGCTTCGCATACCCACACTATAAGACTATAGAGTTTTGAGGCTACTTACCAAACACAGGCAAAGTCGCCTTGGGGTATATATTTGATCAAATGTATGGAGGCACGTGCAGCAGAAACACAAAGAACAGCAGAAGAAAACACACGAGGATTCAAAGGCCTCGCGTTCAAACCTTGGATTGCATAATTCGATAATCGGCTAGTCCAATATCCATGATGAACAGACATTCGGTGAATTGTGGTCAGACAGTTATAGTAAGCAAAGTGTAACACTACTATATGAAGAATCAACGGACGGTGCGTAGCTTTGATCTCATGTTCAGGCCGGAAATCAAGTGGTATACTGTCTTTCCATTCTTCAAGCTCTCGATCAAGTTCTCCAATCGTATTGAGAAGCTCACCATCTGATTGTCGTGCGGCTTTGGTCGAATAGAGCTGTTTATATACTTTACTTTCGATTGATGCAAATATGCACATCAATCGGAAAAGATTTATTTTTCCTTTACCATCGGAGAGTGGTACGTTTCCAATATTATCTGGAGGATCTTCACTAGGAAGCTCGACATTCATATCGTCGTCATCCTGTACCGGGGGCCTCCCGGATCGAAGACATAGACTAAAATAAAATAGTGTTAGTTATTTGTGTAAGCATATTATTAGGGATTGTCTACAAAAAACACAGGCAGTAATACATACTCTTTGTCTAGTATGTATGCGATCCAAAAAACTCGCTTTCGCTGCTCAAGCTCAACAGGGTTCAAACCGAATCCAGACCCGCGTTTGTGCAGACCTATACTATGCGAGAGGCGGATCGCTGCGGCGACTAGGAAAAATGTTGGTTGTGGGTTAGGAGTTCCCTGTAGGAAAAGTGACTGGGAAGTGTTAGCTACCGTAGCATACTCCAATGTAGTTGGTGGTGAGTCCGGCTATTATCACTTTTGAATCAAACTTACCATTCCAATAAGTGCTTGCACACTTAGGAGATCAGTATTTCTCATCGTCAATTCAGTCAAAACACCCATCGCATTCTTCAGATACAACCAGGCTTTTTTATCTTCCTCTTGCGGCACCAAGTTACTCATAATTCGTAGCCGATGAGATATAGCTAACACCACATTGATGCTGGCCCACCATCCAGAGCCTTCGTAAGGGTCGCGGGAGTACTGTCGTTCGACCAGGTGCATAAATGTGGGTTCGTGAAAGAGAGGGAAGACACAATTAAAGTTCTCAAAATAATCTTTAAAGAGGGATAGAGCTTCCTCTCGGGGGGGTAACGGTTTGAAAACACGACGAGCGAATATGTCACTGAAAACCTCTGGCTTCCAATATATCCATTTATTGTCATCTACATATGCGGATGATATCATATCCTGAAACGATGAATCTCCCGTTTTCTCGTTGACCCATTGGATGCCCTTCGGTGAGAATATTGAGAAGCCAGATGATGATCCTGCAATATGTTAACTCGAGTCTTAACAGGATAACTAGAGATTGGGTGGTTACCAATATATCGAGTCTCCCCGCAATTGTTGGTGACCAAGGAACACATCATATCTGATAGAGAATCTAACTCAGCCTCCGTCTCCTTTTGAGAGTCTGGCGAAGTAGCCGCGGTCCTTGGGCTGGTGTGAGAATCTGCATGTGGTGTAGAAGTTATGGGGGATGGTTGGCTGGTTTGATTAAAGCCAAAGGATGCGGTTGACTGCTTGGACGACAAGCCACCGGGTTGGCTTGACTTATCTGCAAACCGCTTCTCAAGAGCACTAAGATCGGTTTTACCAGCGTCCGCTTCCGTTAACAACCCGGATAGTCGTAGTAAGGATTCCATGCGGCCCAATCGATTTTCCAGTCCTTCTATGTATTTGGCTCTGTTGGACAGTATTAGCGAGTGTGGAAGATTTTCAGACGCAATCGACCGTACCCTTTCGGTGGATTCCGCTTCTTTTCCACCTGAGTGAAGATACACTCGGTTTTATAGTTTATACAGTGCGAGCATTTTGGCATCTTCCCGTCGCACTTAATCTTCTTTTTTCGGCACATATCACATGCCTAAAACCATCAATCAGCATAAACCTTAGGAAACGAAAACTGACACTACCTCTTCAGACATACTCTTGCAATTCTCCGCCTCTTCGCATCGTTACTCTCCTCCATATTGCCACTTAGGTGGTCTTCGGGAAACACTGGTCCTGGAAGAGATGGTGTTATGGGCGAACCATCAGGATTGTACGCCCCGAATATCTGTGGCGGTTGGTTGACCACCATGTTCATATCGAATCCCACGCTATCTGCATCTACTCCACCGAGATTATCCATTTTTCTAAGCAAGGGGCCGATGGCAGTAGCGCAATAAGGAGCGTGGCTGTATTGATATCTCTGAGTTCAAAACAGACAGGGCATAAAGGAGACCTGTCCGGCGGAAGAGGGACAACAAGCTATGTCCGCCAGCAACTAACGGTTAACACGGGTGACCAAAACTGCGCTCACGATGAAGGGCGTATGTAAAAGGGCGCTCGATGCAGGAGTTCGTATGACGCCGTGACGAGGATTAGCAAGCGCGGACAGCCAAAGTCGAAGATGGCAGAGAGAATAAGGTGATGCTTGATGATGAAATACGTTAATGTATGGGCCCCTCGTTTGTCAGCATATGAACAGTGGTATATGGGATTTCGGAGTGGACCTTGGGGTGTTATTTCGGTACTCGTATAAACCGAAGCTCAAGTCAGTAATGTGGTCGAGACCAGGGAGGTTCTTCCTCCCGATTCATATGCCCAGAGAACAGAACATGAAGAAAACAACAAGAAACAGTGTTTACAAAGCTAAGATGAATCTCGCAGACTTCTTTGCTTTTTTTCCCGCTAGGTCTTGAAGCCGTAATCGGATTAACAAAAAGTAGCCGAGAAGATTAGCTGGCCTAGGTCCAAAGTCAGCTCAGCACCGGCCATTTGTCAGCCCCGACCCGACACCAACCTCCCACATAACCTGACCGTCAACCCGTCAACCACAGGAGTTGGCATTGATTTGGCCTTGGATGGGGGGTGCTCGATGTTGGTTGGGGAGCAGCTGGTATCGTGAATTTAATTGGGCTCGCCCCAAGGGAAAAGGCCCGAAACACTCATATCGTGATACTTTGACAGCGCATGCATCCTGACGATGTGGCTGATATTACTTCCAGTGCGCCCAGACCTCTCCAGAGTCTCCACAAACACCAATACCTCTTGAAAAGCAATATTTCTTGACTAGACTTCTCTACGCCTTACGGTTAAACAAGTCGGCTGGTGAACCGCAAGAAAGCGATCATATATGGGCTATGAAGAAAGTTCACTCCGAGAACATATTCAACTAGCCAACACGAAGATGTCTTGATCTTCCCACCTTTGCGTCAATTTCAAACAGTTGGAAATACATGGCCGGAATACAGGGTGCGACTTCTCTGTTTCAGCAACTTACCTCCACCTCAACTCAAGGTGTAAAATTTCATGTCAGCAAGACCTCGGTTTTTGCCTGTTCTTAAATACTCAGGCATGAGATCAAGCCCTGAATGAAGAAATCTACAGTTAAGCCAACTGCAGAGGTCAAGGAATTGACGAAATGGGCAACTTCGAAATCTTGATAAAAGTAACTTCTGACCTGGAGGGGTAAAGTTATCCGAAGTCGACCAGGATCTCATTGCGATTTTGCAGTGTCTCCTGCGTAGCAGCCGGGATGGTGCGTAAGCTCAACTGAGTTCAAGGAAGGTTGTTCGAGCTTTCATTCTGGCTAAACAACATCGATGTCAGGCTGGGGGGCAATCAAGGGGAATCACGACAATGGTTCAAAAACGTCACTTTGTTCACGCCGTCCACATATGTGACTCATATTTACGAATCTCCTTGCACCAACTAGCATGAGTTCAAGAGCCACGAGGGACTAGATCGCGCCTCCATCAAGCTTACGGAGTTCATTTGGCAAATGGGCGCTACTGGAAGCTCAGCCGAATTGAATGGTTTACGGACTATAAGTTTGAACATGGTTCTAGCGCTACAACTCCTTGATTTTTTTATTTTTATTATATATGGATCTATTACAATTATGAAAAATCAGTTGCTGGCCTATTTCTTCCAGAGACGAGTGAAAGAGTTTTGATCAAAAGCGGCTATATAGGCACTGTACCAATAGCTCCAGCAACCTCCAGACAAGGAGCATCTCTAGCCATCTGAAGTTTCCAGGTCTCTGGGACCATATTCCCCTTAAGTCGGTCTCCTCTCGTTGCACGGAATGGCACTGATCCTTTTCACTCTCAGTTCTCATGAAACCTTAACATTGCTTAAATCAACTGAGGAATCTCTCTTTATTCCATATCTGACCACCACCGCTGATTCAACAGAATATTGCAATAGTTTTTCATTACCACCCATCGCCCAAAGAACTCAGAATCCATTTACTATCCTCACCCGGCTTGTCTTCAGCTCAATCATTGCTCTCTATCAGAGCTGACAGTGACCCACCGACCGAAACGGACAGAACAGTAATATAACGTTACACAACCTGATGCTCATATCAACCAGTTGATCATTATTTGTGTGTTGCTTATTTGGAAGAGAGTTTTGTGGAATCCAAAACCCCCAATGTCATCTCACTCTCATCACCAGTCGTGGATGGAACCAGATGGGAATCACAAATCACATGGTGTTGGTTTTCATTCCAATTCTACGTAGAGTCTCTCCAGTGCAACCTTGCTGGCATGACCAAGGGGATATACACTACTGCTTATGATGCCAAAAGAGCTGGTTTAACCTTCAACCATACCAATACCCCCAAGCCCATGGTGATGGGATTAGCTCGTTTTCTTGGCCATATTCATGCTGACTCAAAATCACGATGATGCTAACATCATTCCTTTCACCTTACGGAGTATACGATGAAGTGATTCCCACTCCTCTTACGGAGTACCATGAACAGCACTCACCACCGAAGCCAGAGTCATGGCCTGAGGCTGATGGAAATTTCCAACTTCATAACCCCGCCATCTAGCCGCTAGCCTTCAGAAGCCAAAGCCACTAGCATTTGGCGCGAGCGATCCTGAACTTGGCGCATCCACTTGGGATAAAAGAACCTTGGAAAAGATGCATACTCCACTGAGAATGCCAGTTAGCCCCTTAGGCAGCAGCATTATTTTCTTGAGATTTTCTTTTCCATTTCTTCCATTTTCATCCTCCTGCTGACACCCTCTTGATATCAAGGCAGGAACTGAAAAAGGCAACCCAAGCCCTGTCGCGAGAATAGCCAAGATCTCTTGATCTTTTCAATTGGTCATCTTTTACGATTCCCTTTGCTGGCTTCAATAACTTCCTTGACTCTCCTGCAGATTATGGTCAATCAAACTCATGTAAGAATCCAGGATTGAAGCAGATTTCCGCTCCTCCGAAATTCGGTCGAAACCTTTAGGTATTCGGGCCTAGACTACAAAATTCCGTGGGATAATCATATAACCAATCGACCATGTGGTTTCACGATGCTCACAATCGCTTCAAGGGTTCCTCTGGTGAAAACGTGGGGCTCTGTGCGATCCTAATAAATGGCGATCCGATCCTGTTGTATCCTTCCTGTTGGAAAGAACCAGGCGGGGAATAGGATGTTAAATGCAGCGTCGCGCAAATTGTCCTATAATTTAATCCCCGTTCCCGATCGACCGTAGATCTGATCGGGGTACTTTTGGCTCAATGGCACTAGCCTGAAGAGTTAATGTACCCAGAATCGAGCATATCTGCTGGAATCGCGAGCTGTACTGACGAACTATCCAAACAGAGGATAGAAGACTAGACAAGCCGCTCCACCTGACAATGTCCATGGAAAACGTTTAGGAGATCAAAACGGCTGTTAATGGTTTTTTGTGTGTGGGGGGAAGATGGAAGCACAATTTATTGTAAGGCGAAGGCCGCATTCAGATGCACATTCTTCGACAGTCACATTGAAGCAGGTTTTCCTCCAACACCTCGAAGGCCTCGATATAGGTTCAGCTGTTCTCAATCACTTTGGGCGGTCGGCCCTATCAATGGTCGACGCCAACAATAACCTCATGGAAGCGTTATTCCAAATCTCTCTCGCCAACATAATCATAGAAATATGGAGGAGTAAACTACTCATGTTGCCGCCGCAGTCAACTCCGCATGCACCCACGTCCTGGCTAAGATGAATTTCTACATGTTGGGAATTTCTGTGCAATTGACGCACTTGACCGCGAGAAGCACATTATAACTTCATGGTTTTGAACGGAAGGGAGCTGGCTCATCCAGGCTCAGCTATCTGCTCGATTACTAGAGACTGACTCTACACATCCAGCCCCTTTCTACGACAGTATTTATTTTTCTCTGGATCGGTTCCGTCTGTCAATATTTTTCTTTCTTTCTTTTTGTTTCTTTTTCTTTTCTTTTCTTTTTTTTTTTTTTTTCATTTATACTCTTCTCGTTACTAATTGTTAAAAGCTGGAACGGGCTAACCCCTCTCCCGAAATTGGCATTAAAAATAATCTCTCACATAGAGATTTCAATTGATTTCGTCTTTCGTACTACGTAACGTCTATCTAGAGTTCGTTCACAAGTCGGCGCTCCTTACGAAGAGCACGTAGCTTGGCTCGAGCTTCCTCTAAGGGAACAAGACTTCCTTTAGCTTGAGAGCTAGGATCATCACGGTTGCGGATGTTCACCGTGCGGGTCGACTTCTCTTGGGCACCGACAACTACATTATGGAAAAACATTGTGATTAGCATAATAACAGTAGCTCAGCGCTCGATGAGAGGCTAGCGAAACATCATTAAACGGGAGAATTGGGGAAGAAAATCATAGTTTACCGAAGATAAAATTATATTGCGCGATCTGGCCGGTGCGGATTTTCTTCTGCATCGTATTTCCGCTGATATCAATGTCGACGTTTAATTTATCTCCTTTGAGAATCCGCTGCAGCTCCTCAACGTAGTCGTTAACAGCAGGCATGACGGGCACAATCAAGATTTGACGCGGGCTAAGCCAGAACGGCCACTTTCCGCCAAAATGCTCGATGATGATACCAAAAAACCGCTCGAAGCTGCCAATTATAGCTCTATGAATAACAACTGGGCGAGCGCGGCCTGGACCTGGCTCGTCGCTATTTGTGGGAGGAACATCTGGTTTGGCGGCATCTCCTGCTGGCCTGTCTGCCGTCTTCGCTGCGGGTGCTCCGGCTGATTTCTCTTCAGGCTTCGCTTTGGCTCCCGTCTCACCAGTCATATATTCCAACTTAAAGTTCACAGGCATTTGATAATCCAGTTGGATGGTAGCACACTGGAACTCTCTCTTTAATGCGTCTTGGATCGTGACATCAATTTTAGGTCCATAGAAGGCGCCATCCCCCTCGTCAACCTCCCAGTCATTACCCTTAAATTTAGTCATAGCAGCACGTAGTTGATCCTCTGCATAATTCCATGTCTCTAGCTTTCCCATGTACTTCTCCGGCCTTGTGGATAATTTTAGTTTGAAGCTAAAGCCGAATAATCCGTAGATAGCACGAAGGAAATCGAAAAGGCCATCAATCTCTTGCATAATCTATGCCAGGAATTAGTCAAATAACTAGGATAAAAAGCGAAAAAGTATAGTTTTCACCTGATCCTCAGTACAGAATATGTGAGTGTCATCTTGCTGGAACTTCCGCACCCTCGTGAGCCCATGAAGGGCACCGGATGCTTCATTTCGATGCAGCACTCCGAAATCCGCAATCCGAAGAGGTAGTTCTCGATAGCTTCGTTCTCTGTGCCCAAACATGATCGCATGTCCTGGGCAATTCATTGGTTTCAATGCCCAGGTTCTCTTCTCGATATCCAGCTTGAACATGTCGTCCTTATAATGTTGCCAATGTCCGGATTGGCGCCAGATACCGACATCGTACATGTTTGGTGATTGAACCTCCTGGTAACCGCGCTTACGATACTCAGATCGCAGAAGTGCCTGCAAGGCGTTGAAAATTTTCGTTCCATTAGGAAGCAAAAATGGGCATCCTGGGGAAACCTCATCGAAGAAAAACAAATCCTGATCCTTTCCAATTCTAAGGTGGTTGCGCTTTTCAGCTTCTTCGAGGAATTTCAAATGCTCTTGCATTTGCTTCTTATCTGGGAACGCAACACCACGTATCCGTTGTAGAGCATCATTAGATTGATCACCCAGGAAATACGCAGCGGAATTCTTGAGGAGGTATTTATTAGCTTTAAGCCGTGAAACCGGATGGCATTGTTCGTACCTGCATAATCTTCATGATCTTAATTTTGCCTGTATTTTGGATATGGGGCCCCCTGCAAAGGTCAACCAGGGTACCACATCGATAGACTGTGCTACTCTCTCCTTCAACAAGGTTATTGATGTAGTGCAATTTATATTTGCTATAGGCGAACATTTTCTTCAGATCCGATTTCGAAACTTCCAGTCTGTCAAAAGGCTGTTTTTCTTTGAAAATACGGGCTGCTTTTGTGTCAAGCGCGGGCCAATCGCTTTCCTTCACAACATGACTATGATTCCACATCAGTGAAAGCCGTCAAAAATGGGCGACAAAAAGAGTAGCAGAGACCTACCCCGGCTCTAAGGCCATGTCATAGAAAAACCCTTGAGGCGTCGGCGGGCCATGGGAGAGTAGACACCCGTAATAGCACTCGCAAGCCTCACCCAGCACGTGAGCACTAGAATGCCAGAAAACTTCTCTTCCCTCAATCGAGTCAAACGGCAGGAAGGTCACCCTACAATCCCTCTCCAATGGTCTATCTAGATCCCAAAGTTCCTTCCCATCTAGCTTGGCAATCACCACAGTAGAACTAATCTCCTTGGGTATATCACGTAAAAACGAACCTGGTGTGGTTTCCCATGCCTTACCAATGATGGTGGAGGGGTTCGAGTCTCCAATGTCAATCGTAATGTTGATATCAAAGCGGGGTTTATGTTTTAACTCTTCATCATGTTTCTGTTTAAGTTCTTCGAAAAGCCTATTTCGCTCTATAATGAAATCTGGAAGCGGCGCTTCTGCTGTAGGCTCAGGGTTTTTCGGTTTCGTTTTTGCAGCTTTTTGCGGAGGCGGGGCATTGGGGTCGGAGGGGTGGGCGTCCATAACTGGTCTGTGAGGGAGGCTTTCTTCCTCGTTCGCGGGAATTGAAGCGTTGGAGGAATCTCCACCCATTATGGTTCTCAATGTGACGTTTGACGACTGAATTCTTCAATAGTAGCTTCCCGCCTGTTGTGGTGACTTCTAGTTCTCCATACCCCGATATCAACTTGGGCTGCAAAAAAAGTGAACTATCCGAAGGCGGTGAGTCACGTGAACTTAATTTTATTCCCACGAGTTTTGTCGGCAAAATCAGAAGCTGTGCATGAAGGCCCTGCTGCTCTTCTCCCAACATCAATTCAAACACTCACAACAATGTCATTCAGAGGAAGCAGTCGAGGTCGCGGTGGCTCTGCAACCGGTGCCAATCGAGGCGGCTCGGGCTTTGGTGGGCGTGGTGGTAGGTCAACTTGTGCAAGCCTCAGCGGATCTCGAAAATAGATTAATCTAACGTTTTACTCCGCAGGTCGAGGAGGAGGCTTCCAGCCTTCATTCGGCCCTCCGGCTTCGGTATTGGGTGGGTGTCATATCTGGCATTATGTTCCATATTACGTCGTAAACTGATCTGTGGGCAGAAATGGGTTCTTTCTTGCATGCGTGCGAAGGCGAGATGGTTTGCGAGTCCATCAACCCCAAAATTCCGTACTTCAATGCACCGATATATTTGGAAAATAAGGTACGCATAAAGTGACAGGCCCAATATTGTCTGCTGAAATGCTAAAAATAAAATTGGGTGTTTGCCTGTGCGTTAGACTCCCGTCCGTAAAAGTTGATGAAGTCCTAGGCCCTATCAACCAGGTCTACTTTACCATAAAGCCCCAAGAAGGAATCGTCGCAACTTCGTTCAAATCGGGGGATAAATTTTACATTGGAGGAGATAAGTTGTTACCACTAGAGAAGTATGTGGCATGTCCTATTCCATCAATACTCTGACATTGTATTATGAGCGCATATCAACTAATACTAATATATTCTTTCCAGGTTCTTGCCTAAACCAAAACCACCTCCAGGTAAACCCACTCAGTCCTGTACATACATTCTTCTACATTCGAAGTAGTGTCTCACTCTATATAGGTGCCCCAAAACCAAAAAAGGTCGGAGGTGCTGGACGAGGCGCCGCTCGCGGTGGACGTGGTGGGCGCGGAGCTTCCCGCGGAGGTAGAGGTGCACCACGAGGCCGGGGCGGAGCTCCAGGGAGAGGAGCCCCTCGCGGTGGAAGAGGAGGGTTTACAGCCCGCGGTGGCTCAAGGGGCGGATTTCGCGGTGCTTCTGGTGGACGGAGGTTCTGAAGGATTTCTTATTTTTTCCATTGGCGTTTTGGGGGCTCTCAACGGCGGTTATTAATTTACCAAGCTGTTTCTCTGTTTCTCTATTTTGCATTATATAAAAAAACAAAAGAATACGTCTTTATTTTCAACTTCTTGAAGGAATTGTGGTATTTTATTGTAAGAATTGATGTTCGTTAATAGTCAGGGAATAACCCCTACAATAGCGGGGATGAAAACCTTTCAGGTTCACCACTACCATTTTTTCCATATTCAAGGATGTGTATGACAATGACGGGGTTTTTGAGTGCTACTGTGGTGCTTGTTCAGGTATTTGGGTTTGGGCATAACGAGCTTGCGGTGAGATGACTCTCATCAATACATATGACGAAATATCCCTGTACTTGGTTTCGAACCTCAACAACACTCGTCTGCAAAATATTTATTCTTCCTCCCTCTCCCCTCGTCCTCGCACTCTCAACTCTCAACCGCGTTGATATTACTTTCTTGCTATCTTGGGTAATTTTATTATTTCTAATACTAAATTCTATAATACCCCTCTTATGTCGAGAAGAAGTTCCGTCACCCCCAGCCCGGCTGGCCCTGAAAGTGCCAACACAGACACAAACATAAAGGACCGTGGTAAGAGCTTGTATTATATCCTCTGCAATTTCCATTCGTTGGGAGCACGTAGCTAATGTACTTACCCAGTACGAGACAAGCAGAAAATGCTGCTCTCGGCTGATTCAGGCCATTTCAGCTTGATCAGGTCAGTTCCATACCCGCAATAACAGTATTTTGCCCGTCTGTTCCCGAAATAAAAATTAAAGTTATTGATGAGATTATTTTTCCCATATATATTAGGGCATTACACCTGGCGGACCTTGTAACTGAATTGAATGGTAAGTTGCCTCCGTGTGTTTTCTATTCTCTCGTTGCTCATATTCTGACGAGCTTTACTCCTCTAGGATTTTGCGGAGGCAAGTCAATATTCCGATTTGAACAAACAAATGCATACGTCCTCACCTAACAGCTCTACTCCTAATAGTCATGTCTGTCTTCTCGTCGATGCGATATTGCCTAGGCGACTTGACAGAATATAGGGATTTATGGATAGCTCTATCATTTATGCCATTCGGCCTCTTCTTCGACTTCATGGACGGAAAAATCGCCCGATGGCGGAGAAAGTCGTCATTGATGGGTCAAGAGCTCGATTCACTAGCCGATCTGGTAATAAAAACCGTCCGCCATGTCTACATGTAACTTGATAACTGATTCATTCGTTTTTCTTATCAATTTCCAGATCTCCTTCGGTGTCGCACCGGCATCCGCCGCCTTCGCAATCGGCATGCGCACTCCGGTCGATCATTTATTCCTCACATTTTTCGTGCTATGTGGCCTTACGCGGCTTGCTCGCTTCAACGTGACCGTGGCCACACTCCCGAAGGACGGATCAGGAAAAGCACAATACTTCGAAGGAACACCGATCCCAACAACTCTGGGGATTGTGGCGCTGATGGCGTATTGGGTGTCGCAGGGTTGGATTTTGGATGAAATACCGTTCGGCGTAATAGGCACAGGAACTGTGCTAGAATGCCACCCAATCGTTGCCTTGTTTGCAGCACATGGCTGTTTGATGGTGAGCAGGACCATACATATTCCGAAACCTTGAAAAGGGTCGATGGGGGAATTAATACGATACATGAAAGAGAGAGCGGCACAGGGAAGGAAATGGGATGGGTGGGAGAAAGAGGCGGACATAAAACAGGAGGCGAACGCGACTCGGTAACAGTGAAGAGATTGCCAAAAGCCATCTCTGTTAACTGTTTTTTACCTCTTCCATTTTTATTTAATAGAGACAGAACTAGTGGGATGGATATGTTGGCATCTTTTTTTTTTTTTGTATTTACTTCCCTCTTGCTTTATATCGAATACCTAAATGCTACCTATATTATATTATGTTTGTTTGCTACTCAGATACCTTAGAACACTGTAATAACAAACTGGATAAATATTAATATACCAAGTATGATCATTACTCGGTTACTCCTGTACATATCCTAAAGATCCCAGTAATCTCTACTTCTACCGATTAATTAAACCTAACCATTTAAAAATACGCTCTTTTAATTCCCCCTTCGAAGGGAATCAAAGGCAGACAGACACTAAACTTCTGTTGGAGCAATATCTTATCTTATTCACCTTATTCTTGAAGGTATCTAGGTAAAATGCACGCCGATGTCAGGGGATATTTACTCATACTCCCGCCATTGCGAAGACGATTCTAATTTTCCTACTACCACTATTAAAATACCCTCTCTAATACTCCACCCAGTCTGTTGCCCTCTGGATACAAGAGGTACGCATCCATGGATGAAAATGAGCGCTGACATGTGACTTTCTAGAACAATACGATTCCAATGGATGGCACGCCCAGCATGATATTCCCCATCCTTTTCAGCGATCACCAGGAGTGTCATGCGTATGCTTCACAGGTGGCTGATTTGGACACCAACCTGGTGACTCTTGGGGGAAATGGGTGGAAATCATCATCATTCGACGGTTGCAAGTGCATTCAGAAGCAAAACAACCTCTTATGACATGCACTCCACGACATCATTCCTTCTCACCACAGCTTACACCTGCCACCACTTTAGAAATCCGACATGGGAGCTTGGGGCTGCTATGGCATCTCGGCAATCAGCGTTTACTGTCAAGCGCCGGACGGCTTGAGGTATCAGTTAAGGCATATCATATCTTTCGCAATTCATATAATTCACATCATCACTCTCAATTATGAGTTTTAATAAGGAAATTTTCATAGAAGCCAATTCCCAGTTGTGCAATCCGTTTTGATCGCGTGTCGGCTGCTCTGTGCCAGTATCAGTGTTCTTGCATATTGCTACACATGCAATGGAATTAATTCAAGTTGATTGGTTGAATCGAAGAGTCCGACAGGGGGATGATTCAACTGTAGGTGACTATGTGAGCATAAAATATCGCGTGCTCTCAGAGCGCGAGATTTTCCATCCAGAAACCTCACCTGGAAAAATGGCAATGGGGCACCTAGTGCGTAGGGCTTCATATTTCCCTCCCTCCCAACCTACTCTTTTTTTCTTCACAATGGAGCGATGCTGCTCGACAATCAGAAATAGCAAATAATAGCTTAGAAACAATGCAACTAGAATCTCTGTAGTTTAACTCGTCGCTTGAGAGAACAGGATAAAATGTGCCTCCTTACATTCCAGACAGTCTTGCTTGCGTTAAAAATAAACATTGTCTTTGACAATGTATTTGCTGCTTCAACTATGGGAGATATGCCAAATCCACAATCTCCTGATATGTCCGTGAACGCCGTCTCCTTACTCCTGCCACCGGCCAACCGAACCTGGTGGCGCTGCCCTGCACCCATCTGCCCCCGCTTCATGTTGGAGGCGAGTCTCTTTCAGAACCGCAGCAGGTAAGCTTTATGTGTTCCAGATTGAATGTCTGTTGCCTCATTAACATGATTCATTACCCTCCCCCCCCCCCGGGTTTCTGGAGCTGAGAATTGTCATGGTTGTAGAACTGAAGATTCAATCCACATTGGATTAGAGGCTGGGCCATGTAGTTGAGACTTGGTATTTGTGATTGCGTGTGTAGACTTCTATGTTCCACAACCAAGTAATGCAATTATAAAATTCTCATTGATTGCACCTAGGTCTTGAGCACAGCCTTAATCAACCTGACTTTTTCACCTTCAGCTTCCACGATGAAGAAGAAATGTTCCGAACGGCGAAAGATAAATCGTAAAGTCCCAATCATAGGGATATGGTAGGGCATTCATTTGACGCAGAGGTTTGACTCCAAATCTGTGGTTTTGAGGGCTCCAGGAGATTATATCAACAAACCACTGTCACCATGACTTAGATTGGTTAGTAGCAAACAGTAAGCATCTGACTCTTGGCCCCAACAAGAGAATAGGGAGCATACGCTGTAAGAAAGCAAAAAGAATAGAAGCAACGGTCCGAGTCTTGGTGGCGCGGTTCAGGTAATTAACAAGGCTGGCTGACAAGACTCGCGAATTGATGCCACCGATTTCCATGCAGTGGGAATGGGTTGAAGGAATGATCGGCCGTAGGATTTGCAGCCAATTTTATGCTGCTAGGCCGTGAATGATAGTATGCTCTTGGTATACTCCATATGTGCTGCTGAACTCCAATATGCTCAAGGTTTCGGATAGCCCCCAGAAGGGCAAACATGCTGTCATTGTACGTATATATGTCTTAAGATGGGTGACGCCACCTTAAAAAAAAAACTGATCCTTTGGTTGCAACAGTCAACACCAGGCACTAAAAAGTTTTGACAGATACAGCGTCCTTCCAACGCATTTCACGAATTGGCGGAGTTGTCGGGCGGTTAGCATGGAGTTGACAAGTGACACACACCTACCTCACCTCTGTGCATCCTGAATTCCCGCCTGGCCGACGATGTTGCCGTTAGCGAATTGGCTCCCTCACACCGTTTAGAACCAACTAACTTGAATGAATACCATTCAACGCGCTTGGGGATTGTCCCTTGCGGTTTCTCAACTTATCAAATAGCAGCCCGATTATCGTCTCTTCCCCCTATTGATGTTGGGATCCTACCTCGGGATGAGAATGGCGGAGCCAATAGAGAGACATTTTGACATGCGGGCTAAGCGCCCGACTCGGATATATTAATCACTGACTCCAATCACGGCCAATCATGTTATCCTTTTATCAGCAAAAGATTCTGCAGCTCTGGGATACCCCAGAGCGGGATCGACATGTCGTCTGCTGTGTGCCATTCCAGGAACAATTGAATAGCAATGAAATGATGTTCGCATTGGGATAACGTTCCAAGCTACCTCAACACAAAGCATCGCAGTCTCTCTACAGCTGTTTGGGAATATGTGTTGCCAGCTTTCAACAGATCTTACACAAGGTTTTGTGTTTGATATTGAGACAGCATTGACCTGTTCACAACAGATATTGCACCACCAGCCGAGGAACACGAGCAATGAATAAATTATTCAACCCTGGGATTCAAACCTTAGTGCTGCGTATCATTCACTTTGATGTGCTGGTGATACCTACTAGAGCTCCTGCTGAGTTTGTAGCATAGCTTGAGAAAACAAACTCATGTCTCCTGTGATGGCCGCAAGAAGTGCTGAGCCTACATAAGGGACACGGCGTTTAAGAGACATAGAAATAGCGTACTGTCGTAGCAAAAGTAGCCACGCTAAGGTTTCTGAGGAGACCCGAGGTGTGAATGCGAAAATGGAGGGGTGCGAAGAGCTTTGCATGACACAGCTGTTCTCTCATCATACACTTCTAATGTTAAGAGAGCTGGACAACTAAACGGGCCATATCAAAATCGAGTCAGGGATTGCTGCTGCACATTGATGTCCGCTAGCATTCCCATGGCCTGCGGATGGTGTTGAAGAGCGTTCTCAAGAATATTCTGAGAATTGTTCTAACAATCCCGTGGGCAGCTGCTCACGGCGCACGGCACTGCTGCTTGTTGAGTTAAGAGGGACACTAAATACGGTTAGCATTCATCGCTGACAGACACGCAATATCAAGCAGATGGGCAACCTTCGTGAAACCCGCAGGATTCTCAACAGACTGTAACTGTACAACATATCATTTGTCGTATATTACCTTTTGAACGGGCTCCGTACAATCAAGTATTATACTTACTACTCCTTAATTATAGACACTTCCCTGTCGCCAAGAGGCCCTAGATATCGAAGGATACCAGGCGTCCCAGCCACCGCCGCGCGAGATGGAGCAATGCTCAAAGAGCTTCAGGTTCTGCGTGTAAGCTGGCTTCCTCAATTGTCTTTCCCGGGGTTTCAAGCACCATCGCTGTGACAGGGTGTTTGATCCTTGGAGCCAGTGGAAATCAAGTAGATTTCCCACCAGCACCATCTCCATGCCTTCAAATCCGTCAAGGTAAGTGGTCTTCCTCTTGGGTCCGCTGGTAATTCCCTCCTATCTGCTTCCAACGATCCTTTGATCCCTGTCCATCTTCCCATGTAGACCACAGCTACCTGGCCATCCATGGCAAGGACTACGGCGGCGGAAAAACCTCAAAGGATGGATATACTACCTAAGCCGTTTTGGACCAAATGGAGGACACCCAGCACCGATATCTCCCCAGGGAATACTAAATAGCCGCCCACTCAAAGACGAAACTCAAGCGCCAGTGGGCCGGATGACTTTACACCATGCCTAACCCGCGCATGCGGAATCAAAATGCATACTGCACCCAGCGGCTCCATGGCAGCCAGAGATTGTGTACCGCAAGACACCCACCCGATCTCTCTCCCACGTGGCCCCATGGGCGGCTTGCGCTCCCTATGACCGTGACTGTTGGGTGGATTGGTGTGTGGTGGGCTGGACTTTTATATATCTTTGACCTGGGTTTTGTTGGAGAGATTGGAGAGAGGAGGAATCGAAGGAAACGCTGCTCCACACCACTCCATGCATTCATTCATATATGGATCGATCCATCGGGGTCGTAGCCCTCACGTGGAATTTTTGGGCTTTCGTTCCGTTCAGCCTATCCTCTTTCCTTTAGGAGGCCCTTATTTTATTGTATATTATTTATTTATTGTTTATAAGCCGCAAAAACCCAATACGTGTACTCCGTACTTTGTCCAAATGCCCTTGCAACAAAAAGTGTTGTCTCACGCTACGCCGTAAGCATTTACACTGAAATATTCTTTTACTAGTGTACCGAATCTTATGCCCACACAGCCCGGGATTTTTGGCAGTGAGCTCAGGGGAAGGCTCAGTGCATTGAACCTCTATTTTTTCCCCCCGAGAGACCCTATTCTCTCGATTGAGAGATGGAACGGCACCACTTAAATGCCGGTCTCAATATTTCAGTTTAAATTCTTTTCGTGTGAGTCAAGACTCTTCCGCAGGAGCATCTGTTGGAGATTCCAGCTTTCAGTGCCACATCAGTCAGGGGAGGGAAGCCAGCGCAACCCATTCCCCCAAAAATGGGCGGCGCCAAGCCGAAAGGGGGAGCAGGAGGAGGAATAAACACTAGACCGCATCCATCTACACTCCTCTTGTATGGCTCGGGAACATCTCCTGCTCGGTTTCTTGATCTATTAATTATTCTTTTTTTTTTTTTAAATTATTCTTTTAATTTAGAAACTGTGACTTGGGCAACGGTTAAGCAACATTGGAAGTCATACATGATACCATGGGTTTGGAAATACACAATATAATGCCAGTACGATTTTAATTTTACAAGCAAATCACCATCCGTAGCCTTGGATTTTTTTTTTTTTTTTTTTTTTGATGATTAGTCAGACTGCCTGCCGCAGATATCCGTGTGGAGAATATAAATAGCCTCTGTGGTAAAAGGAGAGAGGGAGGGGGTGTGGCCCCAACTGTGGCGGTGCTCGATGTTTCAGGGAAATTTGGTGTGCGCATCCTTCATTGGCTGCATTCCTGTGGATCGGTTGCATCATCAAACAAGTTCAACTGCCAGCCTGGGGCCTGTTTGGGTTTAGAGCACGATCAAAAAAGTTGTTTCCCGCAGTACATACGGAGTACAGAGTAAGTACATACATACATACACAGGGAAGCCCACCGCCCGAAATCCGACGACTGAAATCTGACCCCCAAAAAAATGTCGTGGCGTTCTTTTGCCCTGCATTGTTGCTTGTTGTTATTTTTGTTGTTATTTTCTCTGTTATTTTTGGTGCTGCCACACACCACTTAACTCCGTGTCCTGCCTGAATAATACTTTTCCTGACGTGGGCGTGGAGCAATGTCGGGGATATATCTACATATCTACTCCGTATTATTTGATACTTGTGTGCCTGAGTTCTTCAGTCAGCTTGATGCTGTATGAATATCCTTTGATTGAGATGAAGATATAGCAATACTTTTAGGTGTACGGAGTACAACTCTTGACGATGGCGTTCCAAATCAGTAATCATCTCTTCCTGCAGCCTTTGTCACTTGTAAGTTTGCAGTCGGACGATGGCAATCCTCGATGAGCATGGCATCACCCACCAGTAAGTAGCCCTAGCTCATTCGTGTGTCCGGGTAGGTAGGTAGCGTTCCTGCATTTTTTAATGAAGTCATTGTTTTGAGCCTGTGGTTGGGTTGTTTTGAAAATGTGAAGGAGCTTCGTCTCGAAAGGAATGGTGGCACCAATCACTTGAATTTTCTCTTGTTAATTTAATTTTTAATTATTTTGCAACTTTTGTTGTCATCAATCAATCAATCAATCAATCAATCAATCGACGATGGCGATGCTTTTTAATTCCCCCCCCCCTCCTCTCTCTTTGCAAGTTGATGAAAAACAGGCCCAGAGAGCTGGTGGAGTATGAAGAAGAAGTTACTGAGTTAGTTAAGTTATTATTACATGATATGATAGATTGCAGGCTCGTCCTGTCTGTTTGCCGCATCATGATTCATGACGGCTCATTGCGCCGGTGCATTGCTTGAGGAAATGGCGAAAGGGCATGGTTTGCAGTGCTTCGTACATGACAAAAATACAGTAGCAGTAAACTATTTACCTGAGGAGTGGCAGCCAAGGGGCGCATGACTGCAAAAGGAATCCATCCTTCTTTGAACCTTTATCCAAGGGAGCATGATCCGATCCAGAAGTCGAGCGTGTTGTTTCGTGTTGAAGGGTCTTTTTTCAAGGAATATTCCCGCTGAGGTATTTTGTAAGAACTCAATCTGTCAAGTGAACAAAGGCTGCGTGTTGTTGGTTCAGTACAGACAGACAGAGCAGCCAACTAACCAACCAACCAACCAAAAAAAAAAAAAGCGCTGACTAAGGTTTCTTGGTCCCTGAGCCGTGTCCCTGAGCCGGCCCCTGGTACGGAACGTGACACAGCGTTTCAAGGTTACAGGGTCAGTTACATCCAATCAAGGCCGTTTAGCAATTGTCCCGTGCAGCGCAGGGCAACAGATACATCCGTACGGAGTAATCTTTACCAGCCCAATACGCACCAATACCAGGCACCATCCCTGCACAGCTGTCGTCCTCTCCCTGGCTCTCCCTGGCGCTCCCTCTCACCCTCTCACCCTCTCACCCTCTCACTCTGTCACTCTGTCACTCTGTCACTCTCTCTCTGTGCTCCCCCCATCCCCCATCGTCTGCATCCTCAGATCCCTCCGCCAACCCGCGTCCTTCTCTTCCCGTCGTCTCACGCTCGTTTACTTTCCCCATCTCCCATCTCCCCTTTATTCGGTCCTTTGTGGGCTTTTGTCGACTGTCGCTGTCCCTTACGATCCTTCTGCTTCTTGCTTTCCGCATTCTGGATACTATGTTTTTTTTTGGGTTTCTCTCCACCCTTCCCTCTTTTAATATAATCGTGCCACAACCAAAAAGATCAGGGGGGTGAGTCCCGTTTTCGGTATTCCCAACTCCCAAAAATTCAATATCCCAATCA